CTCAGCTGTAAAGGTGTCATATGGGTGTACTTTGAGCTAATGCTTCATGGCTATTTTGGTCAGTAGTGAAGACAGCCCTTAGCCAAGCTGTGACAGTGTGACAAGTTACTTTGAACTTGGGCTAAATGGCATTTGTCACAGTGACAAAAAAATCCAATGAATCACTAGTTTGTGTCCTGACCTCAAACAATATTTGGGCAGAAAATTCAAGCGTGTGCGTGACTTTGAGAACAGCGTAGGCATCGTCAACTGTTTGAGAAGTGATAAAAGAGTGTCTACATGTGCAAAGAGCCAGCTGTGGGGAATTTATCAGTAGGACAAAGGGCTAACCGAGGGAACATGCATGAGCAAGAGGACACAATAAAGGAACTGATAAAAAGCATGTAGCCATTACAGCTTTTACATTTGATAGAAGACTTCTATCAGCGCATTATGAGTCTAACTAAACTACAAGATTGATGTTCTATTTATCAACATCACAAACAAGCACCAGTAAGGATTACAAAGAACAAGGGATCATATGTAGTTATTTGAATGTGCAATTGCAGGAGCAGTTCTGCAAAAGTGCCATAAGACATGGATTTCACAACCCCTAATATCTTAGTTTAAAGTTGATTTCACTACAACTCAGCTTTTTAACGTAATCATTTTGAGCTTTTGGTTGCACAACCTTTCACCACTAAGCAAACACTATTTCTCTGTCCTCTCTACGCAGCCAAATTCACTTTCATAACTACACAAGCATGAAGAGCCTGCTGCTGGTAAACTGGAAAGTAAATATTGAATTTTCCTGTAGGCGGCTTGGCCGTTGGGGGTTTGATGTGATGTGACGGAAAGAACACAAGGTTTTTAGTTCAGGACACCTACACGACTTCATCCTCATCTGCATCCTGATGTAGAAAAAAACTGCGTGTTCTGTCATTTTTAATTAAATATATTTTTCGAGTACATTTGATGTAGAAATAGTAGAAATGATTTCAGCAGCTGTTCTTACTCCTGACTGCTTGTAGTGGTGGAAACCATAGAGTTTAAGCTTGTTGCGCTTGTATTAACAAAAGCTTTCACCAAAATGAACTAAAATGCTCTTAATGCAATTGTTCATTTCTAATCTCATGTTTTATATTTTTGTTTTAATTTCTTCTCCAAACAAATTTCACTTTAAGTTCCTCTTTAATGTTTTTTCTGTTGCTTTCGGTCCTTAATTCCCCTCTTCATTGTTTTTCACTACTTGTACTGTGCACTGCTTTCAGATAGTAGAAAAATGTTTAAGGTCCAAGTCATAGAAGTTTCTCTTTCTACTTTAAAAACATATACATCTTAAGATACTAAATTCAAATACAATCACATTCAGTGAATGGGTTTCAGATTCTTGACTCCACAGCTACTAAACTTCAGACATACAGTATTTCTGGGATGGACTGCACCATGGACACAGCTGCACTCTACTGTGCCACCAGCAGAATAGCAGCTGTTTGGACCTTACCACATGATATCTGTGTATGCTTGTACAAACAGATGAGTGATTTAAAGACTTGTGGGATACTCCAGCTTTGTACTTCTGTAAAGTTGGGGGCTTGTGAGCAGTGGTAGACTGTAATCTGGCATACCGGGCATTTACGTGTCTTACTGGGCCGCCCCCACCCATCTCCTTCTGTCCTCACTTGTCTTGTGTCAGATACTTTGGCTCTGGCTCAGACCCAAAATCTACAGCAAACTGCAAGCGTTATGCAGCAACAGGTGGAAGGACGAGAGGTGGCTGGCCACGATCACTGCCAGGAAGAGGATCAGACAGAGGAGCAGTGAGACAGGAAAGTCGAGGAACAGAGTGAGCAGGAGGAGAGTGTAGTTGAAGTGGTAAGCAGGGAGTAGAATGCAGGGAAACAGGGACTCTATAATAAGATAACATAATCATAACACTGTCATAAAGTGAGACCGTCAGCTACTGCTGGTCAGTCAATGCCAAATAGCGTAGCAATGTTAGCACTGACTAATGCATAGTGCAGACTACACGCACCTGCTGTGCTGTTCAGACTATATGACTTGCTGTTTCTTGAAGTCATTGTGATGTTCACACTACGTGACTGATTGGTGACATGGGGTCAAACACTACACGAGCTGACAATGACTCTGTCATCAGCGACTAGTCTCCAAACCATGTTTTGTCAACAAAACAAACATGAGAAGAAACCATAGTTTAGATTTTTATGTATTATAAAACACAAAAAAGGAAAACTACAGAGAGGTGAGCAAAAAATGTTTGGTAATGAAAAAGAAGCTTCCTACTCCCATTCACCTGGATCTGGAGTCGCAGACAGCTCCAGATATTTGGCATACTAGATATCTGTTTGGCGTGGGCAATGCGTCGGCGAGCCTCTATGATGCGTCGTGGAGTAGTTCACACATAATGTTGGAGTGCCGACTGGCGAGCGACGATCACTCGCTGATTTGCCCCCGATCTCCCTCCGACTGCCGGTGTAACACCATAATCTGTGATCTATCAGATTCTGTGACTACACCCAAACGACGATGTTTTCCTAACCATAACCAATTACTTTTGGTGCCTAAACCCAACCAAATTGCAACCGCTTCACATCGTCAACAAAGCCTCTGGCGCTTAACTTCCCATCTGGGTCTGATAGGTCACACATTTTAGTGTCACACCGGCAAGCTTGGCGACTTACAAATCGGGCCGTGTAGTGTAAACTAGGCATAAGCAGTCTGGTCCATGTTGTCTCATAATATTATAAAAAGTATCTGGCTATAGTTCCCTTGATAAAGATGTGTGAAAAGACTGTATAATAGGTTACAAGTGTAGCTCTACTATGTTAAAATGTATGCCTACTTATTTATTAACTTAGTACAGGGGAAAATAGTTTTCCAACAACAGCCAACAAAGTTGTCCTATATTTATTCACGCATGTGGTGACTATTATGATACATGTTATGGATTACTATCTGTGGGCCTACATGTAGCCTACAAACAGTACATGTTCAAACTGTTTGGTTCTGCTGTCCAGTAAAAGCATGCATGTTCACACGGTCTGCGCGTAAGCACCAGTGCACATGCAGAGAGGTCAACTGTTGTTCAAACTCCCCAAACAAACAAGCACGGCCTCGATTTAACTGCCCTAATACATACACAGGTCTATTACTCCCATCTGAACATTTATATAAAACATAAAGGTCATCTATTAATTATTAAACACTTTATGCAATAGTCATAATCACTCTTTGTTTACTTGAAATCTGTTTATTAGTATCTTAATTAAATGTGATGGAACAGCTCCATGCATTAATTGAATGAACAAGTATTTGGTCACAGTATGATTGTACAGCTTTTTGCACCTTATTTAACATCTTTGTCTCAGAATTTCAACAATTCTGGATCTAAATTTATAATCACGGAAATACCCCACCCAATTAATTTTAACAATCTCTCCCCCCTCTCCCAATGTCATTGTCTAGTCAAGCCAGGTTGTTGAGGTAACTGTGGAGATGAGAGACAGGGATGAAGCTTTCACATTCACCCAATCACAGGCATTCATACACTGATGGCAGATCACTGCTCTTCCGAAACAGAAACTAACATTCGTACAAATTTAGAAGTATTTTGGGGTTCAGTATCTTCGATATGCAGACTGAAAGAGCCAGGGGACAATCGAACCACCGATCTCCTGCTCTACCTCCTGAGCCACAGCTGCCCCATGCTTAAGTATGGAAACTGTGTACTTCATCAGCGAGTCAGTCCAGAGTGAGTGAGTACAATGGTCCACTTACTACTCAGCTTTGTGACGGTTTGGAGGAATAGTACAGTATGCATATTTAAGTACCACAAGCATGGTGTACTGATTGTAGGTGTTCGACCAATTGTGGAGGTTCGGTCTGGGCCAAAAAATGCCAATGGCCGATTTTTTGTCCCAGTCCAGCCCTGCTTGTGAGAGACAGATTAAAAGAAATAATGGTCAAAGCATCAGAGGCCAAGATATACTAACCTTTAACCCCAAGTATGAGTCACAGCCCAAAAGCACTGGATCTGCACTTCCCATAATGCCACTCAATAGCGTCTTTCATGAGACCCTCTGTGGCTGATGAATATCCAAATCTTTCAGGCTTGACATTCCGTTTGTAACACAAAACTTCTGTTACATCCTGTTTACATCATTATGACATCTTTAGGATAATTTCCCTCAGACTTCAGTGGACTGATTTTCATGTGTATTGGTTCCCCTTTAATGTTTGAGCCATCAGCTGTATTTGTATCCATGCTGAGGCTAAAAACATCACAGACAACCAGATGGTGAGAATATAATATGCAACCGTAAACATTTAATAACTAATAACTTCCAAACTTGTAGATGTGACTCAGACATGAGTAGACATGACTCAGCTTTATTCATCGGTCTTTTGGAATAGAAACATTTTCATTTTAACCAGGGTTTTGATTTGAACCAGCTTGCTCATGCTCACTACAACAAGACTCTTTTTCAGCTTCAAACGCTATTTCATATTTATTTATGTGCTTATTTATACCAGTTTAAAATCACTGACTTGCAGCTATATTTCTTATCATCATTTGTTTGGTGCCTTCTACTTTACTTAGTCTAGACTTGGTGCCCTTATGCATGAGCTCTAAAACCTGAGTGAGAAGTGCAAATGAAAGAATGCTAGTTCCCCCTCATGTTATCATCAGCCACCCTACACCCCACCATCCCCCTGCCCAGGACTAAGCAAGGGGTGGGGGTGGGTTGAGCTCAGCTCCCAGACTGTGTGGCATTCCTGAAATGAGTGCTAGCTCTCCTGAAGCTCCCCTTTCCCAATCCCACCCCTGCTCTTCCAGGCAAGAACTTTCCCCCTGTCGCCCTATGCTGCTGCCCCACACCCCCCACAGACTGAAGTAGGTTTGTCCTGCACCATCTCACATGGAAAAAAATACAGTACATGTTATCATACATGGATAAGGAGGACTGGAAGTTACTAGAAGTCATTTAAAATAACACATATCAATCATGCATAATATTTATCTGTTTATTTGTCTATAAGTGCATCTCAACCACATTAGGTTCAAACATTCAAAGTCACAAAATATGATTTTCACTCATATTAACTTTCAACTTGTCCAAAATGGTGATCGAAGCAAGTCAGTAAATCTTATCTTATCTAACAGGCACAGTTGAGGGTCAACCTCTTTTATTCGCAACCCCATCAGGAGATCAAAGTTCACTGTGAAAGTTCGACTGAGTGCTAGTGTATTAGATTGTTTATCCATTATCCCTTGGATTGTTTCGGTCATCTGTGGCTTGTACTTTAGCAGAAAAACTTTCAAATACTGGCCTGTTATATTTTCATGTCTGTTTCACTGATCTCTACAAACTGGTAATACTGTATGTGATAGTGATTCAACCAAGCCACTTCTGCTTTTGCAGTACATTTGGTGGCGTAAACACTGAGTCAAATAGGTCTTTCCAGGAAAAATGTTCTTGCAAAACAGCAAGGGGTGGGATTTACAATGAATTTTACATTTGGCAAGTATAGCGGTTTATTTGGAATAAATAAAAGAAGAAATGGGTAGCCAGCATGAGCAGTAATGGCTGCCAGGATAGAACAGATAAAGAAGAGTGCCACATACAGAAAAGCTAACTTATCACTGGAGACATACTTACTTACCTCCCGCTTCCCCCTTGTTGTGTGTGCCTGTATCTCAATGTTTATTCCTACCTTTACAAGTGTGCCCATGTGCCTATTAGTGTAAAAACTGTTAAACCTTTCATCTAGTTGTTCCTTTTCTTTGGCAAATTTCATTTAACTATGAAATAATAACGATTATGTCTTCCAGCTTGTAGTTGCTGAGTTTCTTTTTGTGTTATTTGTTACTAATTGTTGTCAGGTTGACATTTTCCCTTCTGCTTTCAGTATGGCACAAATGTCTTCTATTTTCCAGTCAAGAGAACAGGCTGACATGCAAACTACCCCTACTTATCACTTTTACTCATAATGTTTTGCCCCATTATTCTTAAAATTAATTTAGGCTATTTCAGCCTTGAGCTTGAACTCTGGTGTGCATGTGTTCTCCTTATCCATTTGTCCATGCCTATAACCTTCCTCAAGGTCTTAATGAGTATGGTTCACCTGGTGTTTGCATTGGCACTATGACCCTAGAATGCAGCCAGGCATCGTACTCCTCCCTGGGGATCTGGACCACATGCTCTGTGGCAATCTGTCAGAGAAGAAGAGAGATGGAGGCAGGATAGTTTAAATAGAGACAGACACAGATGGAAATGTATGTTGATACTGTATACCATTGGTTGGCCAGCAATAATATCTGGCCCATGGCCAGATTACATTAATAGCGGCAAAAAAACAAACAAACAGCTGAAATAGCAAACATAGGATGATGTGGACCAATCGCAGGCAGGCGCACACTCCTACACATGCTTAATTGTGAACATGTAAATGATCTCTTCATAATCAATTTGTTGAAAAGGGAGAAGCAAGTGGGAATTGAACACGCAACCCTATAAAAGGGAGTCCTGTGTACTACTGACTGAGCTAATTATTTATTATGTTCTGGCCTGCCATCTAATGAGCTGAAAAAAAATTGGCCTGATGCCAGACTTATTTGCCGACCCCTGCTGTATATGGTTAAAAGTAGGAAATAAGACACAAATGTACAACTGAAATCTAAAAACTGATGATCACAGAACCATTGAAGTAAGAGATACTGAACTGTCTTGTAGAATAAAATTAAAAGCATCTTTATGTTGGCTTTGTAAAAAAAAAAACTCCTGGCGACCAAACCAAACTATACTTTGGTTTCCCAAACCCTGACACCTTTCCCCAAAACAAACTTGTGCACCAGCAATCCCAGACATCCCCCAACCCAACCCTCCTGAGCCAGCAATGGAAACCAAAACAAGTCATCTGTGGTCTGTAAGATTCAGTATTGGGCTTCAGAGAGGGACACCGTAACATACTGTCCTTCCCACTGACCATCTGACTCAGTGAGCTAACTTTACTGTCCTCTGGTGTCATTTATCAGTCGGCTTCCTGTCATTACACCTCAGCTATCTGCTCTGGAGTCTGGAAAGGATGTATTGCCCTCATTTCTGACCGGTAGGGGCGTGTTCAGAGAGTCTGGAATCTGTTAGTAGGAGGGAGGTTCGTCCCTAATTGATGGTTTAGTGGGTGTGACCAAAACTTTACATTCAGGCTTAAGGTTTTGAGGGAAGATCAGAGGAGTTAAACAAAATCCCACAATCAAATCTCTTGATGGACATCCGCCCTATGGAAATACATCTTTAGAAATGATTTAATGTGCGAACAAACTACAATTGTTAAATCTGCTACCCAACTGCAATAAGAATTTGGCATCATACATTTTTAACAACTGTTGAACCTTTCACATTTACGCTGTTACCAAGCTCACAACACAGCATCATCACATTCACATTTCTTGCCCATTTCCAGTTGTAAATATCCATAATGTTACAAGTAATTGGGACAATTTCAGCTGGTCTGAAAATTTTAATTCTGAACTTCTTAAACCTCTTAAAATGCTACTTCTTACCATAATATTGGAAATCAGCCTTCATGACCAAATCAGAAAACATAGTTTGCATTTGTACCATGCAGTGTTGTGTTCTGATCCTAGCATTTATTGGCAATGGAGTAAACTACACATTTACCACATGACAAAGTGCAAGGTGTTCTGTCCCCAAACTATATTGTTATTTCAGACATTCAGACATGAATTTGACTTTATTATTTCATCATATCTCATTTTTAAATACTATCATTTATTTTATTATTTTATTTCATTCTCTCAGAGTAAGCTGTGGGAGAGAAATGATAATTTGTTGCAGCAATTCCTTGATAGTCATTGAAATGTTTGCCAGTTTCCAGAAACTTTATTTTCTTTGTGAAATGTGGTGTTTTGTGTACCTGGATGGCCACACACAGCTCAGGCAGACAGAGCTCCCACGGCTCCAGACCCCCCAGCACCTTCAGGAAGAGCTGAGGTCGAACCCTGAGGGTCTGCTGATGTGCAAAACCACTCAGCTTCTCCAGCACCCGGCTTACCCCACGCTCCCTGCACACCTCCTTGGGCAGTCTACTCAGCAGAGTGGACAGCCTGGAAGAAAATAACAAAACAAACTTTCAGATCCACTGTCATGCTTCATATAAGAATATGGGGTTTATTAGTTGTCTCCACATTCCACACTTGAAAATGTCTTCAACAGGCTGCATACCACATATTGTTGCTGTGCTTGTTTTTATTGTTGTTGTTTGAAGCCTCCGTCTCTTGGGACACGCAGGCCACATGATGAGGAAGGCCATGGGGTTCGACCACGTGACACAGGGGTCGATACCTCTGGAGGCCGCTGCTTAACCTCTCCCTGGGTGGGAGAAGAAAACTGAATGAAAAAAAGAAACTGGAAGAACCTGTAAGAGCTCATCCTATACTCAACAAATGATTTATACTGTAGTGACCAAACTGTTTGACTTACAGGTAAATATGTACTAAGCACACAGACTGATATAACAGCGCACACACGGTTGTTACATAAGTTGTAGAACCAGTCTGAGGGATGTTAAGGACGTTAACCCTCAGAGTCAAAGTAAAGCAAAGGCTCAGAGAATAAGTGGATGAAAATCTATGACATAATAAAACATGATAAGATCACATCACTTAACACACAATTCAATTCTTATGTCTTATGATATATAAACACCTAATCACATTTGATTTAGTCATAAATTACAGTAGAATATAAAAACTGAGGAATTTAAACGCCATCTGCTCTGGTAATGAATGAATGCAGCAGTATGCAAATTTCTTTCCAAGAAGGGTTCATAGAAAATTAGTTTTTCAAGAGAGACTGAGATTGGTCTGTAATTGTCAGGAATGGACCGATCTAAATTAGGTTTTTTGATCAGAGGGTGAATGACAGCAAGTTGAAAGCAAGCTGGGACGTAGCCATTGCTGAGAGCTATATATACTCGAGTGATAGTTGGGAAAACCATTAAGAAGGAATTGACTGTTGGGAATTTGTTGGGATTGGATGTTTTGCCAGACCTGGCTTTGAGCTCCAGGATGTCAACGTAGCTCTGAGCCATCTCCTCAACCCTTTCGGCAAAGGCAGCTTTCAATTCCAGTAGCATGGTGGCCTTGATGTTGATTAGATGGCTGATGGCTAACGAGGGCTCGGCAGGACAGCTGCATAGGGAATACAAAGACAAACAATATTTATTGTTGTGTTTATAGATTTATAGTGATGATTCGGCTATACAGTGTCTTTGTGTCAGCTTTTTTGATATTGTATTCCAGCACATTGAATTTAAAATGAAACGAATGAGTATGAGGCTAAAGTGCAACTCTTAGCCTTAATTGGAAATGAACAGCGGTTGAATTACAGTTTGTTTTTACATAAAACATAGCCCCAAAATTAAATTGCACCAACTTTAATAGGACAAATCAAAATCCACTTAAATAAAGTCATCATATTTAATATGGTGTTCATTCTAAGACCCACAGATCCCAGCAGGCAATTGATGCTCTGCCAGGCCTGTTCTGCACCAACTTTCACCTCCTTTTATCCCCATTTAGATTTTATTATAGATTTTCCAGACTACAGACTAACACACAGTATCACAGTACCTATCCACATGTATCTATTTAACACATAGGGTGTCCATAGGAACCTATGCATGCACATGGTCTTACATCAACACATAAATATACCTTTATTTTAAAAACAAAACAAAACATTACTTTAGAGGAACCAACGAAATGGTTGAGACCAGGACTGAATAAAAAAATGAGTCCAACAATGACCTTGTTATATTACAAAGATAAGACGGCAGGAATGACCTGTCCATAAGCCATTCCCTCCTTCTTGCTTATTTAGGTAGCCTTTTGCCTTCAGTCTGGTCTGTAACATGTTCAGCTGAACTGTGGTCAGGTGACTGATTTTACCAGTCAAGCACATTCCACTGTTTGGACCCAAAACTCGCTGGTTGCTTTGTATGTATATTTAGGATTACTGTCTTGCTGCATTGCCCTAAAACTGGAGGACTACATATAAAAAGGGCTGTGAGTCTTACAGCACTTTAACCTAATAGTTATTGTTCCATTTAAAATTAAATGTGCAGTACAGAGCCAAAACAACATAAAAATGTGCATCCATTCAAATAATTATGGGTTGCCCTGTATGTTTGAACTGTATGCATACAGAAAAAAATGTGCACATCCTGTAATTAACAAAATGTCTTAACATGACATATGAATTACGGTTGTGGAAAGAGGACGGTTACAACAAGTAACACTTGTTTATAGAAGAGACTGTTAAAATAGGGATAGGTCATGCCTATTAAAACTGAGACTGGATACTACAGATATTTATCTCAGATATATAAATAAACTCTGGAGACCCGTTTCCTAAAAGCACATAAAGGCAAAAATAACATTGACATATGTTCTAATGATCTAGGTTTTTTTTTTTTTACATGTTTTATGCAGAAAATATAAATCTGTGAAGGCTAAGTTTTGTATTTGTTGTGGTGTTTATTATGGAGTGTTCAAAGTTTGCACATCAACTATTGAAAGACAAACCTTGTTGGGACAAACTCACAATTACTGAAAGCACTGCCGGGAGAGAAATGTGAGAGAGAATAGTTATCTGGTACATGTAATCTGTCATTAAATGGTGGCAATCATGTTGTCAAACCTTTAACAGCCAAGGTAAATATCAGGTAGTAGAAAGCGCAGGTGAAATGTACCTGATAACATTTTACAACATGCCCCTTTGTCTCCTCATTCACAACACAATTCCACAGACGCATTACAGCAGATTCCTGACATAGTCTTTCAGATCACTGCCTTTAAAGCCGTGACCAGGCCAGAAGAGGAATGAAGATGAGCGGGACAAAAAACAGAAACACAAACTGAAGGGCTGCCAAGACAGAGCAAGTGAGAAGAGTTGAGCTACCACTGTAGCTTTCTTTTCCCTGCTGTTGTTTTCTAGGGTCACAGGAATATTGCTCCCGGACGTGATGGACTTTTGTCCTTGTTACGATTAGCTGCTGTTGATCTAGAAAATAAAGCCCTTGCTACTGTTAGTTATTGCAAGTGCCCAAATCATAATAGGAGCCCAGCCCTGAGGAACAACAGCAGTCAGGGGTAGAATTTAAGGATTTATGGCAGTAGGCTGGTAACAATACCGGGTTGTTATCTTTACGCCATGTTTATCTTACAGTGTTGCTGAAATAAAAGTCACATGATGGAGGCCTGCTAAAATGTAGATCATTGCAAGCAGAACTTACCTGTTTGCTAAGATGCTGGTTTGTGGGCTTTGGCGCTCTTTCTTGACTTTCTGGTGGACATCTGGCAGTGCACGAAGACCTAGAGACAAACACAACGCTTTAACTTGACTTTTTTTGCTTGCTCTATCTCTCCTTGTTTCATGCATCTGTACATTTTATCATGAATCTCTAAATCTCTCTAGCTCTAACTTCCTAATTTTTCCTTATTGGAAGAGTTTGCACGACTTTACATCCCCCTACATGTGATATGGAGTTGCAGGAGAGCAGGGATCTGGGGCAGAAGTAACGTAAAGTCAGGGTTTCTATTATTCAGGATTATTGTCTAAAAAAGGCTCAACACCTATACAATGCACTTTCCTCCATGCAGACATTTCTCTGTTGTTCTCTTACTATGTTCCAACCTGCCTCAATATACAAATGAATATATCTGTCAATGTGTAACAATAACCGTTGACCTCTCAGGTCACCTGGTATACCTGCTGTTTCAAGGGTCAATTCATAAATGGGTAAAGCTGTTTTGCATGCTCCTACTTCCTTCCCTGATGACTTGAGATGTGCCTTCCTGTTTGCTTGCTGTGGATGGCTGTTAGATTAGAGCTTGTACAACTATTAGAATCCATTTATTTCCACAAAGTTACAATATGAAGACAAAATGCCTAATTGTCTGTGTTGTTTTTTCATCTATAATCTCATAGCTCCCCCTGGTGTTCACATGTCATACTACACCGTGAAATTGATAAAGAAAAGTTCATCCTAATATGTAATCCCACTGAAGCAGCAGCTAGTTTATACATAGATGTCACACACTGTGATGATGATACAATAAGTCTTCATGAGGCTTCCCTAGAGTATAAAGCATTCATTAAAATGTTAAATACCAGCCTAAATGATTCAACTTCTCTATGAGCTGTGACAAAATTAATCACAGTGTGGCAAATCACGGAGATGAAAATGTATAGCACCATTTCTCATGAGGAGGAGCTCTAAAACCTGCAGCCAAAACTGTAATAGCCAATAACTTTTGCAAATTGGCTGGTTTTAGATTGAATAAATAGAGTTCTTATTTTAATTATCCCAAATGTATGTGGCGGATTAGTTATCTGTACTGCTGGAAAAAAAAAATACTGGGGGAGGAAATGCAAAGATAAACCTCTTAATCAGAGTTTTACAATTCCTTTTTTCATCAAAGAGTTTGAAAAACAACTTTTTTTCCTCTCAAAGTAAAGAACTCCACTTTCAACTTCCTTTACCAGACAAAACAATGTAGTGTGGGCAGAGCTGCACATCTCCACTGGCCAATTTCTGGATTCGAGACATAATTCTGGGGATTAGCCTGAACAGAAGTTAATTGCTTTAAAGCAATGACGCTGAATTAATCCTTTGATTTTCTGACTTCTTTTATGATTAGAGCGAGAGCGCTGGAGAGAGGGAAAAAAATGTGAGAAAGAGAGGAGTACTAGAGAGGAAAAAAGAAGGAACAACAACGCCGACAATGACTCAGGCAGCGACAGCTAGCTGAACAGTCTTTCATCAGGAGGTAATGATATGAAACCTGTAATCTACAGGAGGCGAGGATGGTGGAAGAGATCAGTTGACTAATTATACTGTGCTCTGAAGCCTGAAGCAATGCAGTCTGGGAATGCAGCGCAGGGCACAGGAAAGCAGAAAGGCTCTGATCACCCAGCTGAGTAGTATATCGTACAGACCCAACTCTTATTTTGGTTTCCATTTCAGACTCAGCAGGTGGTGGGTAAATGTGTCTGTGTGTGTGTCCATGAGGTTGGACAAGGAATTCGGGTGCCACCACGTTTCTTTTCTGCAAAGCTGTCTCTATCTCTGTCAGCAGGAATAACGTGACTTTTTAAGGCTCTGTGATCAGTAGTGCAGGTCATGTTTCCATGACCATGGAGCTCAGTTTTTCACCTTCACAGTGGGCTGGGCTGGTTCTTGTATTCTTCTAGGTCCAGTTTGGATTTAAATTTAGTTTTTGGGTGTAGGGGGTCTGTTGTGTGCCATTTGCTCATATTCTCTGCAAAGTGCAAAGTGTTGATGGGAAATGGACAGGGTCTTTTCCGTGCTGTGCATTCTTACAACAATAAGGAGATGAGTGAATGTGACTGCATGTGGACGCCGTCCCTGTATGCCATCCAGAAGTGACTCAAAGACCTCCATTATATATGTATATATCTACATAAATAACTATATATTGTTCCCATATTTTAAGTCATTATCTGTTTAGTTCTCTGTGTGTAGCATGAAGGGTCTACAAATTTTCATTCGGTTATACAATCTTGTGTTGTATAATGATAAATAAACTACACTGTACCATTTACACACAGACTGTGCACATTAACATTGACAAACTAAAATTAGATTTTTGTCTTACATATATATGTGATTTCACGAGCTTGCCTGTGCTGTTTGTATGAGCTTGCATGGTCAGTCAGCAGTGAAAGTGCTAAGTGTCAAAATCTTCACCTCTTCCTCAGTCATTTTGAAATGTTTTGGTCGCTCAACCAATTCAATTATTTCTTTATCACACAATATCTCTGCATCAAAAAAAAAAAAACTTGACAACTTACACTCTGAGGAAGGCCGGTCTTTCTCCTCTGCTGCTCTTGAAAGCTCCGTGTCCTCCTCAGCGCCTGGCACCAGAGAGGACACGCTGCTGCCCACAGTGGTGGAGGTGAGGGCCGAGAGGGAGGCCACACTGAAGGAAGACTTTCTGCAGGTGCGGAGGCGAGCAGAGGAGCTGAGAGGGCGCCTGGGATGAGCTCTCCGAGGCTGTTGGAGGGAAAAAGGGAAGAGGATAAAAGGTTGCTTGGTTCGCAATAGCACACTCATAAAGCATGTGTTTGATTTACCACCTGGACAAAGAATGAGCGCACGCAGGGACGACTAACCAATATTTGTTGTTGTCACAAGTGTAACAGACTTTACAACCCATAGAGGTCAGTACAACAACACCATAAGATTAGAGTGGAGTAACTCATGCCGAGTTATTTACTTCTTTAATCCTAACCTAATAATCTAATCCTAATCTTTAAACTTGGTCCTAATTTATTTAAAAGAAAAATCCACCCTTGAAAAATAATAATAATCTCATGCTAGATTTTGGGTTATGCTTTATGTAATTAATTTGTGGTGCACATGATTGTTTGTGTTTTTGCCTTGATTCTTCTATGTTTTGTCAAACATTTTGTCAGTTTTATACTGCTCCCCTTGAATAAAGGTTAATTTATTTTAACTGTATCTTTTAAACTTCAAATGTCAAATAAACTTGAACTTCAGTGCATTCTTGGAGTTACAGTTTTCAGTGATCAGGTGTTTTAATTACTTTCAGTCTAAAGGTAGACATATGTCGTCTAAAGACATGTGACAATAAGGGCTACTACACCCTTTCCCCAGAACATAACATCCCTAATGGAAGTCTTACATTGTCATTTATTGAGGCTACTATCAACAGAGAATCTAAATCTCCGTTCTCTGTGTATAACTGTTGAATGTCGGCACAGATTGGTCTTAGTTCTGAGGGACTGACTAAAGCCTGGCAATAAATACTGATGATGTATCTTTTTGAAAGTTTTGGTTTTGCATCAAGCTCCATTTTTTCCATCATGCTAGAAATATCTCTGTGTGATGTCTAGCCATCTGTGTTTTGCCAGTTAGTCATAAGAAAAAGTAAAGCAGACCAACAAACAACACAAAGAGCAGAAAAGGTGAAACGTTCATAAAACACTATCTGTTTTTTTAAAAGAGAATCTGTTTTCTTTAAAGCCTAAAACAAAATCTTTAATTTATATCAGCAGAAATATGCAAACACACACACACACACACACACATACACAGGCTGACAGGCAGCTGCTTAGCACACACCCATAGGTTGACCAATCTCCCAACTCAGGACGACATATGAGCAACAGAAAGCAGTCAGACACGTCTCTCCCTCCCCCTTCTCTCCCCTATGCCCTTCCCTCTCTCCTGCCTGTCTGTCAGCAAAGACCCGGGCCTTAAGTGTGTGTGACGTTCCCATCAGCCTAATTATCAGGGTGGAAGGAAGCACAACACTTCAGCAACCGCTCTCCAAATGTCCTCTACTGCCACATACTGCCATCCCCTACGGAGTAAGAGTGTGTGTGCGTGTGTGTGAATATGCTTTTTGCTTACTGAATTAGTCTGTGGGTGTAAGCATGCATGTTTGACTGTTTAAGGAAGTATGCCTGTGCATCAAGATTTAAGGTTTAGAGTCTATTAAGTGTACTGCTCGAGCATGAGTGAGTGAATGCACCTGACTTTTCCTTTTCTGTGTGTGTGTGTGTGCGCGCGCACCTGTGAATGTAGGTGTCACAGTGCAGGATTTCTTTCTTTCTGCAGAGCGTGGCAGGTAGAGGACTTTGAAAGATAAGTTCTGGGCACACTCCAACCTTCTGCTGAAATCGGAGTTTGTCCAGAACTCATGGGGACAGATGGAGAAAATAAATACACTTCACGGCCAAAAGTATGTAGACACGCGAACATTATGACCATATGTGATTGTTCTCATATTTTGGAACCTGACTGCAGGGATTTGCTCCCATTCTCAAGCATTAGTGAGGTCAATCACCGTTCCAGGCCAGTGAAGTTCTTCCACACCAAACTGAGAAACTCCTTTCTTTATGGACCTCACTTTTTTATGTAGAAACAGAGCCTCACCCAAATGGTTGCACAGAGTTGGTGACATACTTTTGTTGTGGAGAATGAAGATTTTTCATAAGGGACATGTTTTCGTTATTCTAAACAAATCCCATTAAAAGACCATAAAAAACAGCATTACTCCCTCTCTCAGTATTTTCCCTTCCCTACCCAGTTTATTCTCCAATGTACTTTTTTAAAAACACTTTTCAAAAACATTTGGCCACTGTATTTTTTTATCAAATATATTTGTCTGGAACTATTTTTAGCTGCAGATTTGGGGCTATAGTGCATCTTTCCAACAGCAGACTGGTGTACGTGGGCCTGAGTCAAAATAAACTACAGTGTGTGTTTATGGTTACGAAGGAACATGTCACCCATTGCAACAGTGTGGCTCAATGATATTTGATGATTTTTAATAGTTTTTGGACAACGATAGAGCTCTATGGCACAGACAAAAGCTGTTAGTGGGGTTTTGGTCTTTTGATAGCAAAGAAAACAGCCACATACCGAAAGTACACAGAAGTTTGGGGACTGGGGTGTCCACATACTTTTGGCTATATAATGTACATGCAAATAAACAAAATCTAAAAAATAAATAATTAATAAAATAATAAAGTGAAATGAAATAAAAAGAGTAAGAGTGCGGGATACCTTGGTTGAGACAAACTGCTCCCATTTTTTCTCAATGGCTCTCTCTCTTTTCAGCGTCTTCACTGTGGTCCTGCCTCGGCCAGGGTCTCTACGAATGGAAAATAATAGCCGCTGTTGTGATACATCCATCACTCTGGTGACCTTCTGTGACTCACCAATAGTCGAAACCTCCCTTCGAGGCAGAGACAGCTTGAGAGTCGCTCTTGCCATTATCAAAATCATAATTCATCTTATCGTAAAAACTGTGCAGTGTTTTAGATTGATGCCCAGCATCAGAGCTGCCCGCTTGGTGGAGGGCCCAGCAGTGTTGTAACCTTGTGATAATGTTTCATTTCATCCTCTCCTTGTCTTTCCGTACAGTAATACCTCAGCTGGATCATTTGGCCCATAAAGCTTAAGACTTTCTGGGAAATTGGATTTGAAGCTGAGTGAAGGCCCTGGAGGCTGTAACATGATGACGTTTGGGTACAAAAAAGAATTATCTTTGTAGTTCTTTTCCTCCCTTTCCTTCCTTCCGTTCTTCCCTTTTCTTTTTTATTCTTCTATCAATTATGCAAGGCTTACAATGGTGTGCAATAATACTCCTGTGCTACATTCTACAAGGAACAATTGTAAGTCGCCTTTAAACTTTATGAATACATCTATTCTCCCAGTCCAGGTCTCCTCTGACACTTGGAAAGAGACCATACAGATCATCACAAATCATTATCAAGGCAAGAAAAATAATAATAAAAAGAAATGTATAGAGGCAACCTTAGAAAGAACTGCCTGAATTCTATGTATTAAACATGTGAGTTTAAGCACCACACAGCTACTGCTTCTATACTTTCTCCTTATTTGCTCACTCTCGACTCCCTGTGGTGGGTCAATATCAAAGGAGCTGAAACCTGGAGGGGTGGTGGGTTAAGATGGAGGAATGCAATCTCCTCATCCCCTCGCTAAGCTTGGACCCCCTCCGGAGTATTGGACTTATTTCATCCAGCACTGTCAGCTCGCGCCTGCAGCTCCTGATCACCGCCACCCTTTATCACTGGCTCTCTACAGTACAGATACAAAGACTCTTCAGGTGGCTCGCCTAAAAACAGTGAGGATTTGACAGAAATTACTCATCGGTCAGCGTGCAGAGGTCAGCGGCGTTTATGAGTCGATCACTGATGGATATGTCACTCACGCTGCTGTTTTTCAGGCTGTGGACTTCATCATTCTTTAACAGTAAATGACAGTTAATGTATTATGCATGAAGACAGTGCTTTTCATAATCCTAACGCTCTATGTGCTTTTGTGTCTCATCGCTCACTGTGAATGCACCGCTATCCCATCAAACGTGAGCACTGTCTAAAATAATTAAAAGGATTATTCATTAATAAACATATAAGTTACCTAGGTCAAGTTTTAGCAAATGCCCACAGCATACTAAAACATACTCAGGAGGAAGAAATTTCAGATGCACCGTTGTGGCCTTCAGTACCAAGAAATCATGACAGGAACAGTTTACCACCAGTGTCGATTAGAAAGAAGTTACATTTTATTTGAGCAGTTGGCGCAAATTGGTCTATGAGTTTAAAACAGGAAGGTGAGCTGATTATGTGTATTTTTAGATAGAAAACTTGCCTCTGGCAGCTTTAAAAGTTCAATTCTTCATGTATTCACTTATACTGAGCAACGGTTAGTTGTGCGTGGTAAGAACCTCTAACCCCAGAATAACTTACTTGGGGTCCCAGCAGGCAGTGAGGGGGCCAACTCTGCCAGAGCGATCCAGAGTCAAGGCCTCCAGCAGCCAATTCAGACAGCAGAGCTGGCGGTAGATAACCTTCCTGCAACAGCACACAGAGACTTCAACATCTATCTGTGCAGTGTGTTAGTCCAAAAGAATCAATCAATATACTTTTATTACGATAATTCCAACTCTATGAGATGCAGCAAGCAAAAAACTTAATTTTTACTCATATATTCTACTTAGATCCAGGCCAAAATGTAATTTTGTAATGCAGTACTTCCATGAATCTGCTTCTTTCTTAGCTTCTAATTTGTATTTATTAAACATTTTCTTTTTCAGAATAAACAGCACTATTTGAAAATAAAGAAACATTTGACGTGAATAGTTAATAGTGAATAGTGGGATACGACATGCAACAGAGGTCTGTGGCCAGGAATGCAGTAATGAATGTTGCACCCTCAGAGTAACTTTTACTGAACTTTAACCCTAGTTGACCCATGTCACTAAGCTGTCTGACTCAAGGGGCCAAAGGTCAGCATGTAGTGAATGAAACTAAAACTAGTAGTTCAAATTTTCCAAGAAATTATTAGAGAAATTACACTGAATTTGGATTATTATTTTAAAAAAAACTTCATAAAACATACTGTATATTATAAATAGTGAGAGGTATTTTTCTTTTTATTAAATTTTTGTAACTTCGTTATTGGTTGCCTGTCTGATGCCTTATGGTTATAGTTTCTTGTTATAGTTATAGCTTATAGTTTCTGTGGTTGTGTGTTTGCAAATTAGTTTTTTTTTTGTTATCTTGAACGAAACAACCTGATTTAAATAAAGTTACATTTTACATTGTATGAAAAGTCCTTTGACGTGCTTTGCATCAATGCCATCAGGACGGTTTTTAAGGTGTTCCTGATTTTGAACATGAAAAAGGTAAACAGCATGAAATTTAGCAGTGGTGAAGGGCCCCCTCCAATGGCCAAAAATAGCCACTGCAAAGCCAATCATAATGAACAATGTTCATTTCCAGTCAAACCTCCTGTTGAAGGTAAATGAGTGGATGAAAACATCGACACATATCTCTTCAGTACAAGAGCTGCTGCAGGTGGAACAAATGCAAAACATGCCACCTCTCTAAAAGCTTTGTTACTGTGTCACCTGTAGTCAAGCGGTGCCGTCTGTCACCCAACACTTTCACGCTTCGAGGCTTTATGACCACATCCATTCCTATGATCTCTTCTAACACATCAAACACAATATGAATTCTGCCTCGCTCCCCACTGCGCACAAATATTGCCGCCCCGGGTCGCTCCAAGCTCTTTTCATTATTGACCAGGCCATTTGTCTGCCAGGCAGATACTGTGGTAGATTAGGATCTGTCAGATGTCAGGTAACAGCCTTCGAACAGGGTTGTTATTTTCCAGATGTCTGGCCAGAAAACAAGGCTGTATTCTGGCAGTGGCAATAATGTGTCAGAGGAAATGTATGTTGAGTTGGAGGTGATGCATCATAAACACGGGCTGTAGAATTGTCCCAGTGGAACAGAGCACAGACAGATGTAAAACACGGGGGAGTCCTGTGTCTCTAAAGATGAGAGAGCAGGCCTGACAGAACACCTGAGCACACACGCTCTTATTACAGCATGTATTATCAGTATGGAAGTTATTAATAAATGGTTTATAACAGACCATAATACATTATATGACATTATACATACACCCCCCGAACACATCTACAGGCCAATCTTCACTCATATTCCATTACTGGCAGCAGGAAGTGAAATTTCAGCGATGCAGCCCCGAACAGCACATTAAAATTCATAGTTAAGGGAGGCGGACAAATGAGCAAGTTCTTTGACGATGATGAAGAAGTGAGTCAGCACTAGGGATGGGTATCGCTACTATCGACCAAAAAAGGTTGATAGTAGCGATACCCAGCAGCCCAGTATAGAGGAGAATTGAAACATCTCCACTCAAACGATGTACTTCATTTGATACTTTTTGTAACTACATCGTGGCAAAAAATTACTATTTCTATGGTTTTGCTTGCAGCCAAACACGCAATCAACACACCGAAAGAAAGAGAAGAGCATGTCTTTTTTTCTTTTATGTGCCTGCACCATAAACTGTATAAAAAAGGCCTGCATGCGCCGGGTCCATATGTGATTTTAACAGCTGCTCACCTTCGGCTGCTTGTGATTCAAATATTATTTTTACTCCGTTTTCCTCTGATAATTTTCTTGTGATCTTGAGATAACACAACAGTAGTTTCACACAGCGGTCGGCAGGAACGTTTCTTAATAATAATTTTAGTGTGGTTTTCAGTGTCACTGGTTAGCTCAGTAAGTAGAGCACAGGACTCATGATTGGAAGGTTGTTTGTCTGATCCTCACTGAAGACCTATTTTTCTTCAACAAAGTTCAACAAAGAGACTGTATCACATGTCCACAATAAAGCATGTGCTGGACTTTCCATTCACCCATCATACCCAGGCTGAGCAAATTCTGATGCTTCTCATTTCAGCAGAATCCATTTAACATTACACATTCCCTGATCACACATTTTCCGACAACTATTTCATGTTCTGAAAATGTGTGATTGGATTCCCCTGAATCTCTTCAAAACAACTTTGTTGAAGAGGATGATTAAAAAACACACACAAAAGAAGAAAATGAAAGTTGTTCAGAGTGGGAGTCAAACCCACAATCCTTGGACATCAAGTCTGCACTCTACCAACTGAGCTAACCAGTAACACTGAAAGTTTTTTGGAAATTATACTAAAGAAATGCACCTGCCAACCCCTGTATTTAACTGTGGTTTGTTATCTCAAGATCACAAGGTAATTATCCTGTTATCATGGGAAAACGGAGTAAAAAAATATTTGAATCAAATCTGTAGTTTAGGCTACTTTCAACCCATGTATCAAAAAATTTCCTTCAATTCATTGACCCTCAGCATTTATTAAATATTGATACACATGTACAAATCAGGCGGGTTTAAAGCTGTTAACACTATGAATTGTGTGTGTGCTTACAAGAATGTTATATTGTGTTCTCAAACATCCATTAACTGTTTACACACCAGTCAAGGGTACTTCAGAGGAGAAGTTATAGGCTAGTTCTTGACAAAAACACCTTTTAAATCTATCTTACATTATAGTGTGTATTACATTTTTTAAATTTTATATCCTACTTAGAAACACTAGTCTAGTTCCAGACCTTTGCTGCTCACAACTTGTATTTCTTCCAGCAATTCAAACAGTATTTAGTATCATGATGATTTAGTCAAATTGTTATACTATATAACTGCTAAATATGAGGGTGATGAAATTACTGTTACCAATTTGGGTAACAGTAATGCAAACATATCTCCGCTACTGGTACAACAGGTGCCTCCTAGTTTGAAAGCTAAAATGTTCCTGCTTTGCCATTTAATCATTTTCAACCACGCTGTACTTCAAGACACGACATAATGTGTGATACATACTGTATTGCACTTTTGTTCAAAAGCTTGAGCTTGTGGATTGCAGGCAGCATTGCCAACAAATCCTCTATACAAGATCAAAGCATGACACTTGCAGAGCAGGAACCACTAAATGTTGCTTTTGTGAACCAGACTTCTGTGTGTGTGTGTTCATTGTCAGAACACCTGAGTTTCTAACAAGGCAGATTTGTCAGAGAAAACTTTTTCTGACACGTTTTTTCACAGAGGTTAGCTCTGGTTCACACAGCATCAAAGGAGTCAGCCGTATGAAAGAAATACAAAATGAAAGCATCAGGAGTATCTCTCACTGTCAGATGTTTTGCATTAAATATTCAGCAATCTGCCTGTTTGCTTTTCTTTGTTTGATGTTTGCTGAGGTGTAGCAGCACATCTGTTTGACATGAATCAAACGCACAAACGCTGACTGACAGAAGAGGGTGGAATAAGTGCAGTGATTCCTTAAATTCAAATGCTTTTCATACATCTCATTTTTTTCTTTACTGTTGTGATTCTTTTGAGATACATCAAAACCCATGCCCTAACAAGGATTAAATAGTTCATGATAAGAGGAACAAATATTCAACTGTTATCCTTAACCGATTAAAATAATAATAATAATAATAATAATAATAATAATAATAGGTATTAACTGATTTTCTTAGCCCTGATGTGTCTTTATTTTATGCTCTGATTCCGCAAACAATTCATTTTGAAGGACAAAGCCTTGAAACATCTTACCTGCCTACCTGCATGACGTTATTGGCAGAGGAAACAGCACACAGCAAAGAGTACAGCTCCACTTTGCAGCTACGTCTACACTACAACAACTAAGACGTACGAACTGCATATAGTGACATATGGCAAAAAACTGTATGAGCATTGTAAATCTGAAGGTTAAATACTGAAAGTGAGAGGCTGAAGGACAAAGCAAAGCAGCTGCGAAGAAACAAGCATGCGACTGCTTTCTAGCTGCTTGGGTGGAGGGTGCGGAGTGGGTTTTGCACAGCTCCATCTCAATCTGTTTACACAGAAACGCTATGGCAGAAAGAGGGAGAGAATCGGCGAACAAAAAATTACAATACATGGATTGGCCATTTTAGCAAGAAAACATATGCCGTGGTTACGACAATGCACTGTGCACCAACCAAGAGCGAGCTGGGGTACTACAGGAAGTACAATCAACCAAACACAACTCAATACTCAAGGTTAGAAGCTGTCTAACCTTGAGTACCATAAACCACTTGAACATACACGGCTTGTTTTAAGGCCACCATCTTGAATATTGTTGAATGAATAGGCTGTACAGTATGAAGTGACCTTACCTCGGTGCTTGACTCAGCAGAGGGGAGGTCAAAGAGTGATGGACAGGGGTGAAAGGCCGTGCTGACTGGCTCTTCTTCCGGCGTGGCCTTGCTGACCAGCTGGTTCCTGCAAGCAGTGGCAGCCTGAACACAGCAGGGATACAATGCTGTTAGCTTATTCTAACATATGATGTGATTAGCAATGATTTTAAGGCAGAGTGGTAACATTGACCAAGAATGACCTCAATTAGCTTTTGCTGATCTCTCTCTCTCTCTCTCTCTCTCTACTAATGTATATTAGCTTGCACGAAGGTTTGACAAGAAATTTCAACGATTCATTCCGTGTAACACAAAACAAATATAACTTAATCATGTGACACTTCAAATCTCCAGTGAAATTTATACATAGGCTTCAATATACTTTGAATAAATGTTAAAGGAAATTCTCAAATATATTATTTTTAATATGTTAATAAAGGCAATACAGCAAAGTTTTACAAGTTTGTAAAAAACATACAACCCTCTCTTTCTTAACACCCCCCGGTTTGGATAAGAAAAAAAAAAAAACGTAGCAAACAACCCTTTAAAAGACAGAAAAGGTTAGAAAGTGGGATCAGTCTTTCAGCACAGACCTGCAATAGGTGCCGTACAGAGTAGACAGAAGTAGCAGTAGTAGAGCTACAATACAAACAGACAGATCAAAACTACATTAAATATTTTGTATTGCTAAGTACGGCATTAATTAACTTTTTTGGCCACTTCAAAGCACAACTATCTGTAAACATTGACATATTATCACCTTTTAAAGCTGATATGTCAAATGTGCTGGTAAACAGTTGCTTATGCACACATCCAGCAGATCCAGAGCAACATTAGCATTCATTTGGCCATCTGAAGAATGTAATTTAGGGCCCTTTCACACCTGAAAGTCCGCACAAAGGTCCGAACCAAATGTTTTGATATATTTTGATACATTCGGTTAGTTTTGGTTTGGTTTCACATTGCAATTATTTGAGTGCGCTAAAGAACTTTACATGACAGACTTGCGTCATGTCATCATCATCTATATGGGCTGTGTTTCCCTATACTTGACATTGATTGGTTTGTAAAAAGTTTTGCAGGTAGCTTTGATGAGAATGAATGAATAAGGGATGAACAGATGCATTATCATTGAGACTGTGTTGTTATTATGGCATTACTACCTGCAGCACCAACTTAACTAGGCTAGTTCAAATTTGCCAAATAAACGTCCTTGTTGTGCGAACTATATCTTCGCCGGCAGGAAAGGAGGAGAAGACAGCAAGCTTTGGTTTTGGTGAACTCCTGAGTGAAATATTTGGCTCTGTGCTATAGCTGCCAAATGTTCTACAACGTTCACCAGCTAGTCGCTAACTTTTTGTGTCTGTCGTATGGAGCTGGAAAGCAAGGGCAGGTAGCGTACATTGGGTTTATCAGCCCTATTTTTACTATTCTAAAAACAGACGCTTGCTGCTGCTGCTGGAAACAGGTTAGTGAGATGAGAGAATGAACCAAAACAATCTAGTTCAGGGCTGTAAAACCAAAATGCTCTGTAGTGTGTCATTAGGAGTCATTTGATACATTGTTATTAGTGCTTTAAGTGACTTTAAGTAGTCTAAAGTGTAAAAGTCAAAACCTTAGTTAAAATACTTGTTTTTGTTTAAAACAAACTAAACGTATACAGAATACATTATACAATGCAGACAACCTGTATCCAAGCTAATAAACTACTCCAGAGAGAGACGCCGCAAGAAGAAATGAAAATGAGCTGATGTGATTTGTTGCCTCACGCTTCTGAATCGCTGTCTGAGTCAGACGAGAAACTGGGAGGTCGTGGCTCTGTTCTCAGCTGCTCCTCGCTCCTCATCCGCTGCCTCTCCTCCTCCTCCTGCTCCTCCTGTTCCTCTTTCCGCAGGAGGTGGAAGTAGCTCTGGCCCCGCTTAATTGCTGATGCCAAGCGCCTGCAAAGCAGAGAGACACAAGCGGGAGTCATAAATACAGGGCATCACCAACATGCTTTAATAATGATAGATGTTTACTTTCCATCCACCCAAATTACAGAAAAGAAAAAAACAACATAAAGCACATAAACCACAAATGTCAAGCCTGCACATTAATCTCCTGTGTTTGTCAGGGACATACAAAAACCATGAAAGCCGATGAGTTATCGTCAAAAGTGCTCGTGTGTCATTACAATAATCCCTCCAACCCATGCATGCACACACACACACACACACACACACACACACACACACACAGTAAATCATCCAAATCAGAGCACACCAAAGCAGCAGGCACGCACAAATGACACCTAACTAGAGCATTATGGGAGAAACGTGTTATGTCTGGGCAGATTAATGACTTAATTACAGTGGTTTAGCTTCCAACCATAACCTTTCCTCAAATACAGTTTGCTTGTTTTTCCTCATACTGCACGCGTAATTACCTTTGCATTAATGCTGTGGTGGAAAATTAAAAGACACACGCACAAAAGCAACTGTCGAGGTGACTTTGCCAGAAGACCAGCCGAGGTAGCATTCTTCTGTGTTTCTTAATCATTAGTTTGCCTTCTTGTGAGCGAAAGAGGCAGAAAAAAAGCAGGTCAAAGTGCAGGCTGCTACAAAGCTTGTTATAGTGAGCTGGAATAGAGAGTCAAGGTGGTGTACGCAGCGCCGGCTGTATGATCCTTTGTTGTTGGAATCAACTGGGATTCAGAAGAAATATCACAGGGCTGAATCTGCTTTAAAATGAAATGAAGGCTGTGGTTCAACCTATATGGATGTCGTTGCTGTTACTGGAGGAAGCTCAGTAGTCATCAGGAGGTTCAATATGACTGTGACTCTTGAGATAAGCAGTCACGTTAAATCACAAAGGCAATGTTTAGAGAATAATGTATATTAGGGTTGGGTAATAATTCAATATTATTGTTTATGTACTTCCAGTGAAATTCTATGTATATTAATTTAAAAAATAACGATTCAAGCTAACTGTAAACTAACAATGAGTCATTTAAAGGCACCAAGCGGAAGCATTTTGTGATGAATAGGTCCCTGTTTAGTTTTGTATATCACGCTTTACGAGCACACGCATGAGGACACTTGCTGTAAGTAAGGTGCGATTCACATTTCTGCCGATGGTGTTATGCTATTCCACTGGTCGACATCTGGTGGCAGTAATTAGCCAAGAAACTTAGTATTGGGCCAGCAAAATGCAGAGATGAGTCAACAAGTCTCTAAGGTATGCCTTCAACTGGCTTGGCCACAGAGGGCCTCCAGAGCTCATGCTCCATAAGACCAAAAATGTGGAAGCCCAAGCAAGCCTGAAAATCTTTTTCAGAGTATGTGCCTAGTGAGCAGCTTACGTTGGAGCGAATGGGGTGACATGTTGGAACATGGGATCCAGTTACCTCAATAAATCCGGGATTCCAGGATGCGACAGGCTCAAAATCTCAGTTTTGAAAATGTTTTATGAGGAGGGAAATGCATTCATTAGGTTTGTCAGACATCATTTGGCTAACCCAGTTGTCAAGAGCGACTTACTTATGTAACAAGAAGCTGCTATCATTTCCTGATTATAAACATGACAAGAAACCAACAAGAGGAAGAGTGAGGGTCAGAGCCACAGTGACCTTACAACAGTCTTGTGACCTTTCCTTTCCAGGCAAACTAGATTTTTTTGCAAGGGTGAAAGCAGACATCACCACAAACGCTTGCATATGTTGCAACCCTCTGCTGTTCCAGTTTTTATTTGTTATCTAGTGAGCAGCTGGCTGGTAATATTTTGCCCACAAGTGGAGCCAAGCACTTCAGCCTAGGAGGGGGGCACTGAGCACTTGTGTTCCAGCATGCTAATTTGGCTCACTTCGGTGGTACGAGTGTACCAGTTTAGCTCGGAGGCATGTCTGTTCTATTTGCATACCACCACACCCCTGATATTACTTATTAATCTTCAGACGTGACATCTAAGTCCAAAATGCAGCAGTCTTAATTAAAGTGTGTTTCTATCAGCATCACTAATGACTCGTAGCTTCAAATGTGCAAAAAGTTTTTCCCTGGAGTAGCTACCGGCTGCCAAGAGTGTGGGAGGTGGCTCAGTGACCTTGCATCAGACGTGACTAATTTCGTTAGCTCTTTGTGCTAAAGTGACTCTTTCACTTTAGTTCAGCTAGTGTTTTTTTAATGGATTAATATCTTCTAACTGGCAGGCAAGTGGGAGTATTTCTGCTTGTGTTTGATGCACCACATGTACAAATGTTTGTGACAACAGCACTGGGCTGTGCCTGAGTGTAACATGAAAGCTGAACAATAATATGCTGAAGGAAAAAGGGGGGGGCCGGCAGAAGAAAGCTGCCGAGTCAATGACAGGCTGCAGTATTTGGTGTGACAAGAAAATAAAAAGGCATTGTGAAAAGGCAATGTATCATCAATACGTGAAAACACAATGAAACTTTTGTGTTTGGAAAACAAGAAGCTCTGAAATGAAATGTTGTGCCTTTTCTCATCACCGCCGTCTGTCCTTCCAGTCAATAACAAGTTATTTTTCTTTGTGATGTGATTTTTCTTTGAAGAGAAGATAACAATGCTTGGACTTGATAGGTGATTAAAAAACTGATTTCAATGTAAAGAAATTTGGACATTTGTGCAGAGCGGGGGAGGGGGGTTGTGGAGGGGGACAGTTTTTAACAGATCAGATCATGGAAGCCCTTGGGTGGCAGCTTGTTGCCAGGCAACAAAGAGATAGGGATTGTGGTAGGTGAGGCATCTTTACAGAGATTAGACCAACTAAGATGTTGTGGCTCTATTCTGAATCTACTCACTGGCTCTACTCTCACATCATAATAAATTCCTATATGTGTTTTTTTTTAATTCACATATTATGATTAAAGTCATTAGCATGGAGTTTTGTAGAGGTATGACACACAAGCCCCCGCAACGTGTCATAAACGAGTTCAAGCACATTCATAATTAAATCCTAATTATAAATCTAGCAGAAGAATGTAACTCGGGTAAGTATTGTCTGTCAGCTACAGCATGATGAGAAACGGGACTTACAGTGGTGTTGACAAGACAGCTTGGGATGTTTCATGTCAACATCACCAGAGACAAATGGCAGACCACGACAACACAAGCTGGCGCAGTCATAAATGAGTACCACAGGCAAGGGTAAGAGCCAAAACACTCTGATTAGGCTTTGTAGTGTCTACTGAGACAAACAGGAAGGAAACAGCAAGAAACACGAAACCCAACTGGACTCATGTAGCCACGCACCAGATAATTCAGACCAACACAGTTTGCCTCCATATTGTGACAGAAGTGAGTGACTGCATGCTCCAGGTATATAAGGATTGGTAAAACCCACATAAACACCAGTGCCAAGATGAAAAATGTTGCATGCTATGTACGCATGAATAAATACTCTGACCGCTGTGGAGAACGGACCAATCAAATTCAAGCGAATATCTTTAAATTTGTGTCCCATTTTCCACCTCATCTTTAAATGGAAGAAAAAGAGACGATTATTACAGCTGTGTCTGTGTTTTTGGGATTACCTAAATTATGTGACAAATCCCTGTCCTACAGGGAGAGGATTAGGGCCATTTGAAATGCATTGACATTGTGCAATATTATCATTCTATTTTTCTGACTTTAATCAAAGCGCTCCAAATATTCTTTTTCACATGGCGCCGTTTAAATTCTTTTCACTTACAGAGACATTGTTTTCTATAATTCAGGATGCCCTGAAGTGTTATTGCACTTACAGCATGTGTACCATGGCCTCTCAGAAAAAGGGAAAAGCTGTGTTCGAATCATCCAAATAAACTGTGTTTGCAGTCAGTTTAACGTCATGGTTACGGAAGTATTATGACTATGGCTTCCAAGAGTTAAATATACCTTGTCAACTGATCTTAAGATATTTGATTTTAACAGACACCTGCCAGCCAATCAACAATAAATACAATACACAACTGATGTTTTACCCAACAGCACACAATGCTGATTATTTTATTAGAGCAAAGTGAGCATTGCAGCGTATCATCATAGTCTGAACTGTATAGCTGCATGGGTTAGTTCACCCAAATCTCACACACACACACACACACAAAAAAAAAAAAATCATATATACAGTCGGATGTTAGAGAGAGACTGTTCTGTCTGAGTGTGAAACTGACACCACTCCAATGAGACAAATTTGAGACAAATTCTTCATTAAAAAGTACTTTGATGGAATAATTTGACATTTTAGGAAATAAACATTTTTAAAAGTGAAGACTGATACTACACTGGTGTCTATCCATTACATACGGAACTGGATAACCGGCATTGAGACGATGCCTGCGCTCATGAGGCCGATAAACAAAAAATCAACACGTGACACACCTCGTCAGTGTGGCACTGGGGAACGATGTTAGCGCCCCCCCTTGTGAGTTTTGGGAAAGTAGTAATTATGCATTGAGAATGTATTTGAGCGTACAAGTTGCCTTTCAGTGTCCGTATGAAATGCCTTTGGTTTAGAAAAAGATAATTTTGAAATAAATACTACGTGACGGTGGATGGGTTACATTGGAGTTACTTGAAAGACCAGGTCGTCTCATACGGATGCTGAAGGACCTTGTGCATTAAATACTGACACTTTGTCAGCTTTTTTCAAAGTATTTGACGCCCTGAGATGAGACTCGGTGTCATCACACGTTTCTCCCATCTTAAATGTCAGCAAATCTAAATCTGTTACTGGCTAGCGTTAAATATATCGTATGTTATACTGTAGAGAAGGCAGTCGAATAACGTTGCTTCTGACAAACTATACCCCACTCTTCCTTAATCAACTGGATAAGATACCTAAGATAATCAAGTGAACTGTCTAATAACCGTGTGTATTAGATTGTAATGTGCATGGAATAATGGAATTATACATGACTTTTCTTTGTTTTATTATCAGTATTATATATCAGCAATCAGCTGCCTTGCTCTCCAAATATCAGCATCCTTAACAGCAACACGACAACACTGAATTAATTTTATTAAGGATTTCTACATAAAATATATTGCTTAATGCAGTAGGGTAGTTTGGGGTAAGACGCGCCCCCCTAATCTCAATGTCTATTTGCTGACACATAAAATATTTTATAGGGGTTTTTTGTATCTTGGTGAGGGCCGTGCTTAGGGTAACATATTATAAAGTAAAATAAATAGCTACAGTTAACAAATTAATTTGTATTCAATCAAATGTGTTTTTTAGGGAAAAGGCATTTTCCACTGGGTTAAGATGCTCCCTCTATGGTGTAAAATCACTTTAATAGGTGCAAATTACAGATAAAATAAACTACAAGTAGCTGGTTAAAAGCAAGGGAAATATAGACCTATTTTGTAGAAATAAACTTGCCTTGCCTCATGTTATTAGCTTTCCTATAATTTATTTCTCAGACCTTAAAATAGTGAGGTTGCTGGAACTTCCCTTGCCAGCTAGCTAGCTAGGTAGCAATGTGAGCATATGTGAGCTTATAACCTCAGACTTTTACCTCAGACTTTCTGATAGTGAAGTTGCTGGTTGGCTAAAGGGGCTGTCCAGTGTCTAAATAACATCCAACTTACAAACGATCAACATAAAGGGGCAAGGTGACCGGGGCGCGTCTTACCCCACTGGAGGGGGGCATCTTACCCAAAACATACTAATCTAAAATTTTACTACCAAAACCTATAAAATTATTTCTCTTTAAACAATTGCATAACTTATCTTAAGGCTCCCCTTATATATATATATATATTTTTTTTTTATACATAAAAATTGAACACAATGAAAAAAATTTAAAGCTTATTTCAAATTACTAAAAAATTAGATCAACTTATGTCAGAATGGCTTTGATCAAATAATTTTAAAAAATTGTGATGATACAGAGGAAATTTTTAGTTGAGTGTCACTAGGGACAGCCAGAAGACATCAGCAAAAAAAAAAAAAAAAAAAAAAAAAATCATTGTCTGTAATATAAATGCACAATCATGACTTTCATAAATGACAGTAATGGTGTAGCGGTAGAAAAAAACAGGGATTGTAAAACAACATAATTATCTTTCACTTTTGTAAATAATGGACCCAGGTAAGATGGGTGCCATATGGTTCCTGCCTGAATGACAAGTCCTCATGACACCCCACATCCAGTGTTGGGCAGTACCGCGATATTATTATTACTTTTTCCAGTAATTAGTAGTATAAGGTATTACTATTTCCAAAACAGTAACAATTTTACAGTTACAAATCCAAGACACACCACATTACAAAATTACCAGAACGCCACTTTGTTTAGTTGTCTTGAAGTGTTTGCAGGACTGTGCAGCAGGACAGGGTACAGTTCAAGTCGAGATGCGGGATCATATGTCCCTTATGACCTTATTACATGTTTTCTTTTTCTTTCATTTTATTATTATTATTTTTTATTATATTTTTATTTCAGCCAGAGGCGTTAAGAAATGTGATATGTTTTGTAAAAAAACATCTTCCTTGCTGCTGTTAATAATATGCTATAAGTTAAAAAGTCACAAAAGACTTTCTTTGTATTTTACTTTGTGAAATACTGTATATACATAGCCATATTGTATAGAATCATCTGGTTTGAGACGTGTTTTTAGTTTGGCTAATTGTTGACTCCTTCTCTGTTGACACACCGTTTTGTTCCAGTAAAGTGGATTCATATCTAAAATGAGGATGTAGCGTACATGTTGTCAGAAATCTGCAAAGAGGTGGAGCTGAGGCGGCTCTAATGAAGCCTGGCTGCTGAACCATCAGTGAGCCACCTGAGAAAGCACTACCCTGTCACTCAAAGACGTCCGTCCTTAATGCACAACTTTAAGCCTTATCTAAATGGGGAGGGGTAAATTAGCTATGGAGAACAAAGCCGTTTTTGTACCAGGCTGTAAACATGTTTCTTTCTGCAGTAAAGTTGGGCAGTTGGCTTCAAGTGGCCATTTGAGGAACTGCAGTTGTAGTGGAGGTTGTTGCTTGGTGTGTCTAGTGTTTTATATCTATATCTATATCTATTTATATTTATATCTATGCCACTACCTGTCAAATGTTTCCACCTACCTGCCCGAGCTGAAAAACAAAACCAGGCTGATTAAGTTCAAGGGGTTTGCTCTGGCCAGAGAAGCAGTGAGATGTATGAGCTTTCAACATGTGAGCTGACAGAGAATGGGCTGCCATTTGGCTTAAAAGGCATCACAGCCCCAAATCATTACTACTGTATTCACTTGCAGGGATAAACAGCCACAATTCATCTGGGGGTGAGTTTCTCCTGTGAAAATGGCAACCTTTCCCCATAACACCTGTATGAATAATTCAACACTCTGGGCTCTATCAGAGGCTGTCAGAAATGTCAGCCGGTTGGAAGCACCCTTGGCTGCCCCCAGAGGATGTTGTCTCTACACCCTGTGGTGGGGTTAGGGGGTTGCACACACACACACACACACACACACCAAATGCCACAGCTTTTTCAGTGCCAGGACTTCACCGCCTGCAGGACAAAGAAACACCAACAGCCGAGCATTCCTGCAGTCAGCATACTGTTGTAGATTTCCTTTTTATTCATGAGCTATGTATTGTTAAATGTGACTTTTCCATACTCTCTCTCTCTCATTAGTCCAACTGCCTATGCCTCTCTAATTCAGTCACCTGCACATATAGGCCACACTACCCCTTTCTCTCCTGCACTGTGGCCTCACAGCAAGAAGGTCCTGGGTTTGGAGTTTGCATGCTCGTATTTTGTTTTGCTTGGGTTTCTGCCGTGCGTGCTAGAATTAATAATTCCACCAAAGTTATTGTTCTTTTTCTACCACTGGAACAACAGGGGGATGATGATGGCACAGCGGTTAAGACACTTACCTTTGGTGTGAGAGACCTGGGTTCAATCCTCTGACATATAGCAATTATAAGTCGCTTTGGATAAAAGCGTCAGCTAAAGGAATAAATGTAATGTAACGCAATGATAAAGCAGGCAATTTTCGATGTGCCCCCCAAGGTTATTATAGTTTTGGATTTTTCATTAGTGTTTATTTTTATTTCGTTTTGACATTTTGTTTTCAATTTCAGTTTAGTTTTAATTAGTTTACGTGGGTTTGGTTTAGTTTAGTTTTATTTTTTGAAAATGCTTAGTTTAGTTTAGTTTTTATTAGTTTTATTGTTAGTTTTAGTCTTTGTCGCTAGGTCAGTTCAGTTTAGTCAGTCCAGTTTAGTTAGTTAATGTTTTGCGAATAAACATTAACATACAAGTACAATCATTAGAAATAATGCAGATTTGTGAAAAGGGACACCTTTTTAAGCTATCTGAAGCTTGTAGGGGCCCAAACACTAAGCATATATATATATATATATATATACACACACACACACACACACACACACACACACACACACACACACACACATTTTTTTTTTGAAGTACTAACACATTGTCTAAATAAATACTACAAATATATGAAGCACAAGCTACATCTACAGTATAATTTCTCACCTACATACAGAAAACCATAAGAGCTAAACTACCCTAATCCTACTACCCAGTGGTCCCAAGAAATTCATTAAATCAGTCTCTAGCTCTGTCATTCTTTGTTAAATAGGTAAAATACAATAAATGTAGGTGATGGACAGCTAAGAAATTGGAAGATAGTGGCGGCCCCTTGGAGCCACAAACAACAGGTCCCTAGCACCCTGAAGGCAAGTATGACTGGAAAGCAGTTACGCTATATTAAAATGTAAACCTATATTAATGAAAAAACAGATTCTATGTTAAAAGCACTAGAGACAAATTGGCTGAGATATCAATGAGCCCATAAACACACATTAGCTGACAGAACAGAACAAGGAAAAGAATGGTTTTCTTGTCCTTGTTCTGTTTTCCTTGTTCATCTCAAGACAGTGACTCACTACCTGCAACCCAAACTAAACTAAACAAAGCACTGTACAGTTGTTGCATTCATATTATTTTGTACACATGTAGGCTATGTATAAAAGATAATAGAAAACATGTTCAAATCCCACCAACTACCAGCTGATCCCTACCTGGGGCTCTACTCATAACAGCGGTCGCCAGCCGCTATGCTGCGGCCAGACGCCGCCCTGACCCCGGGCTCTCTTGATGGATAAAGCAATCATGTAGGCTTTGGCCCTATGAAATAAAACTTTTACTCTTTCATTTTAGTTAGGCTACTTTTAGTTAGTTTTGCAAACTTACAATATAGTTTCAGTTAGTTATCGTTGTTTTTGTAAAGCTTGGTTTTTATTTTTATTTTAGTTAACGACAATGTTTTTTCACATCTAGTTTTCGTTATTTCGTTCGTCTTCGTTAACCATAATAACCTTGGTGCCCCCACCCTGACTGTGCTTTCAGACCAAAAGCAAAGCAAGCGTTCGGGGCGGTGAGTTTACATACAAAGTCACTGCAAAGACACTTAGAGCCGCGATTTCCTGTTGGGCGGCACGAAGGGGGCGGTGCTGGCAACGCGAAGGCCTTCGCATGAGTTGAAAATTTCCAACTCGAGAGAATTGTCGCGGGTTCTAATCGCCTTCTCGCGTTGTGTGTGAACACTTGCAGCGAATGTACTCACGCGAGGAAAGTGTTGCGAGGATTAAATTCGCGTTTGGTCAGAAAGCACCATGAGTCTCAACCCTTGGGTTCCTAGCCGCTCCTGCCATCACAACCTTAACCGACCCCAGCCCTTCATCCCTTCCCTCTCAAACCCTTCCCAAACCTTCTCAGCATCCAAATAAACTACCCTTTATACCTCACAATTGCCGTGGTCTCTCTTAGTGAAATAGGTGTTACTGCAGTCCTCATCTGTTTCAGGGGAAATATCAAGTAAACACTACATATTTATATCAACAGAAGGGGTTCATTTTCTCCATATTTGCTAAACACCCACAGATGTAACTCTCACCTGGCGTGTCCCAGATGCCTCTGCAGGGAAACAATATCAGCTCTTTTTCCAGCCTGGGTACAACAAACTGGCAGACTCTGAAAAGAAAGTGCATCAGAACAAAGACATAAAAACAAAAGGACACACAGCTATTATCATTTTGTCTTTTGAGTTGCTCTGGAGCTCAGTTCACTTCTTCACCCATGAAAGACTCTGCTGCATCCCCATGTGACCTCTGCAGAGGCAGATTGGGCAGCAGGCCAGAGTAAAAATTTAGTTTCTAATATGACATCGCTTATGGAAATGACAGATAATCAGGCAATTAATCTCTGCATAATTAACTGCATTGAGTAAAAAATTCATTATAGAAGATAAACTAGTGTTTTCTACAGTATAAATTAGATAACTGTGTGTGAGGGGAGTATAAATGTGGGCTTGATGATTACCAGTCACACCTTACTTCCTCCTGTGGAATTTGGAGGCTGGCTGTTAATGGATTGGTCGACTATCTTTGGTGGCTGTAATCGCCTATGAATAGATCATCAGAGAGCAGGCAGAGGGACATTAGCTTGGACTGGATATTAATGAGAATCTTTTCTTTTCAGATTTGTCATTTTATTCATTTATCCAAAGTACAACACGTTAAAGGAAAAACACTTATTTCCAACATAGTCTCAACAGAATTTAAAAATAGCGGCTATGATTGCGGTCCAAGTGGATTTAGAAAAATGCAAAATTTGACATTTTCTAAGCAGAAGACCAGATGCAGATGTCTTAAGAGATTAAAATGATGAAAGACATTTGACTCTAAGCCAAGCTGTTTTAGAAATAATTGCAAAAATGCAACATTTATTGACACAGAGTCACCTTGAGGTCACTGAGTTTCATATGTGCAGTGGGTGGACTTTGCTGCCCGCCTGCCAATCCTGAAGCTATTTGGTATTACAGCGTTTTGTGCATGAACGATTTTAGAAGTGAAGAAAGAAAGAAAGCAACAGGGCTCCAGCAGCCTCGTAGCTTGGACCTTAAAAACAGAACCTAATTTACATCAGTATGCTAATCAGGCACGGGAGGTCTCTCCAGTTTTGCGTCTCCACATACCGAAGCAGTGTACTATTAAGAGTTACTCAGCTGAGCATTACTTCTAAGGTCAAGGAAGACATTATCAACTAACTAAGCTGAATTAGCAGAGAAGTAGAGAAGGTGACTGGCTGCAATCTACCATTCCTCCAGGACCTGTGCACCTACAGGACTCTGAGGCAAGCACGAAAAAAGAGTGCAGCTCACCCCTCCCACCGCAAACACAAACTTTTCAGACACTCACCTCCAAAACCTCACTCCATGAGAACAGTTTCTTTCTGTCTGCAGCTGGCGTCATCAACAATGCCCGGGACCCCCACTGACAAGGATTCTTATACTCCCCAAAGCCACTCTTCACAGTACATTATACTTCCAAAGCAAGTTAAATGAAATGCTTTTTGCAGCATTTACTGCACCATCACAAAGAATGCTTTTTCGACTTTAAAAATTGGAATGTTTACACAAGAGAGTGCTAAGACAACTTTTAATCAAGCCACCACTCAAACTCTAACGCAGAGTTTATTGTTTCCCATCAGTCTTGTGTCTAACTTTGTTCAGGTCTAGGGGAGATTCCAAAGTTTCCAAATATACAAAATATGGCTGAATTCGGAGCAAATGGGTTTAAAATGATGCACAAGACATCTAGAATATTTCCATTTAATGACGGTGCATCCATAAAATCATGGAGTCTTGGGATTGTGTATTTCACTCAGTTTAAACATGATTTATCTTTAATGAAGAGTTGGAACAAAGTCATGTGGAATATATGATACTGTCAGACAGTATGATTTTTCCAACATTAAAGCTGTGGGGAAATGTGGGAAACCGCATGTAAAGGGGTTAAATAAAATGGAGTTCCAGAGACTAAATGCTGAATGGTTGGTGGTTAATGCAGTTAAAAATGCCACTCCTCTAAATGTCATGACTTTTTTTCAGATTTATGGCAAAGCTACAGATGAACTAGACGAGGACCAAGCTGAGCTCAAGTCTTCAACCTGCAACACCCAAAGGACAAGAGAAGGTGCCGGAGAGCATGGAAATGCCACGGCCGTCATATTTCACTGTGAGGCCTCTCCCTGAGCAGCTGCCTCTGCTTGGACCCTGCTCCAGCCCACCGTCTCTCTTCATCTTCCTCCTCACCCTCTTTCCCCTCATCATCCCCTTTTCCCCACATGCTTCTGCTGATGGATGAGCTCATTTGCTGCAAATCTCTTTCGAGTCAAACCGGGACACTGTTGTTGCCCTTCTGCTACTTCACTGGACACAGAATAGGGACCTCAGCATATGAATACTGTGTGTGCACACATCAACGCGCACACAAAATGTATGTCCCAATACATAGGTGTAATGGAAATACTCGTTCTTTTAGCAATGATCTGTGAAGTGGCCTTAGCCTGTGCATTTCCATCAGCACCCAGGAGTAACACACACATACACACGCCAAACAGCGCGGTTAGTATTGCATTTGTCTTAACAGCACTACAGAGAGCTGAATCAAAAGCATTGTGAATGCAATAACATAAAGCAGGAAACCACAGAAGATGAGATTGCCTTGTTTTCCCTCCTTGGTGATTTACAGCGTATACGGGGCCATTCGTGTTCACTGTAGTCACAGACAGGCAACAGGCATGGCTAAACCAATTCAGCGAATTTCTATTCTATAATTTCTTCAACTGATAGCATCATTTGCTGTTAGATCGAGGTTCAAGCATCATTCCGTATTATTTCTGATTCAATGCTGGCTGCTACAACTTGTACAACGACTTTCCAAAAATATATTTCCATAGATAAGCCACTCCATTCTGATGTGTCAGTTTTGATAAATACCCCGTCTCTCTGTTCGCCGGCCAGCCAGCCTGTCTCAGTGACTGAGCCAGCCTCACAATAACTATGATGAATGCAGTGTCCACAGGGACAAACCAGCCATTTGACACTTCATCCCCCTTGATGCATTAGCTACTAATATCCCGTGGATGCATGGCGGGCTATTTGAAGCCTCGTGATTCGCTGTGACTGGCCTCTGCTGAGACCTCCCCTGAGCTTAGGTGACTGTAATCATCTTACAAATGGCAATGTCTTACTTCAAATGCATTTGTTAGTGGGAACAGGCTTTGAAGGATCAGACACAGCATCTGTGTTGCCAATTAGGAAAACTGACTCTGCAGAGCCCACTGGGGCTTTCAAAACTGTCTCTGACGATCCTCTCTAACTTAAATCGCACTGGATGAGGATGGTTAAAGTAAAATGAGTCATGGGTGCTTCTCCCTTAGACTGCAAGTCTGAAATGTGCATCTGGGCAAGAAATTTTTATTTGCAACACACTTGATGTGCTTAAGCGAGAAGGAGGATCATTGTCCATTAAAAGTAGATGAAGTGACTGATCTTGGATGGGACTGCTTCTGTGTAGCTGGGGTTACTGATGAATGAGAGAGAGAAGCCCTGCCATGAAATGAAAGGGATCACACACACATACACACAAAGATATGAAAATATCACTTGAGAAGGGTATTAGCAGCTCAAGGGAGGAAAAGTAGGAGGGACCATGAAGACTTTCTGATCTTTAGCAGCTGTCAGATGGGCTAGGATGAATCAGAAATCGGGGGAAAAAATGATAGCAGAAAAAGAGGGAAAGAGAGAGAGAGTTTGGGTTCCTTCACATGAGCCGTTTTTTATTTGAGTGGGATGAATAAACTGGCAGCGATCTTTGAAGTGAATCCTGATTCAAGACATCAAATGATTTGTTGATGATGTGTTCACAGGGGGGGAGAGAAAGTCATCGGAGAGAAGATATTCTAAAGTCTCTCGCCCTCCTTTATACGAAGACAAGCAAAACAAACGGCAATGAATTTGACTGACGTGTCGTGCAGTTTATGTAAGCTAGGCCAATAACGTTAAGTAAAATATAGGCCTACCATTCCCACGTATTGTTGTCCCACATCCTCCAGAATCACTGGCGTTTCCCTCGGTCTCCGGGGCGCTTCCCGGCAGCCCAGCCGGCTCAGCTGCAGCTCTCGGCGGCCATGATTCTCCCGAGAGTCCGTACGTGTGGTCCATTTCTGGTCACAAACCAAGACAGGCTTCACTTTGCCCAAACGACGCGAATCCAGTGTTGAATTTCGATTAATCATGATAAGCCTGTAGGTTACGAAGTACTAGGCCAAAGTTGTACAGAAGCAGTGACATATAACTGGAGTGAATAAAAGGAGTTAAAGTTTAAACGCACCTCTGCTTCTTGCGTTTTTGTCCTGCAACCTCGGCTTCCATGGTAACGGTTACCCACAAGGCAGTGTGTGGACGCTAGATACACTTTTGTGAGGCCTTTAAGAATTAGCCCTAAATCAGCCGAAATTTGGTGACCCAGTTAACATGAGCTATTAACATTTGAGGCAGTTGTTTGGTTAGTTTATAATAAATGAAAGTTTGTGGTTGCTACTGGAGAGGCAATTATAAGCACATTGTGATGTTAACCACTTTATTATGAGAGATTCTAACAGGTGGATGAAAGTCTGATTAGAGCGATGGCTCTGGTGTGATGGCATAGTAGTAGGCCTAAGCCTCATGACAGACCAATGCCTATTTATATCGCAAACTACACTGGCCATAATAGCTAATTCAAAAAATGGAAAACCTAGAAAAATGCAGACTGAAGGAAAAACATAGGCTACTGGCAAAATTTTCAGTTTAATACATTTAACTACAGTATGTGATTTAAATATATTTTAACCACACCTAATCACGTTTTGTGATGAACAAGTCTGTAGATGATGCAGTAAACATGGCCATGGCAAGTCATCCTCCTGAAGTTTGCGGATGACATTACCCTCATTGGCCTCATCTCTGGTGGGGATGAGTCCGCATACAGGTGGGAGATTGAGCATCTGGTGACCTGATGCATGTCCTCTAATTATTGTCAGAATCAGAAACAGAATCAGCTTTATTTACCAGGTATATGTATACACATACGAGGAATTTGACTCAGGATTGTACATTGCTCACGATGTGCTTACTTACAATACAACAATAACACAATACCAAAATCAGACACAGCTAGGCTTCATAGAGAACACATATATACACACTATAAACGAAAACAATATAGGCTCCTGTCAGTCAGAAGTTTGTGATCCACTGACAGGTGGAGGCTGGCACAGTGAACTGAGCTGAAGTCCACGAACAGGATCCTTGCATATCTCGCTGGAGTGTTGAGGTGTTGCAGGATGTCTATGGAAGATTTTATTGGACTTTAATATTTGTAACCCACAGAAAACAATCCACAAATGTGTACTATGATGCACAAATATTTCACTATCTACAAATATGTATTTTTACATTTGTGATGTGTAAAATCATATCTTCTACACAGTGACTTCTACACACAAAACAGTATTTGCACATTTGCAGATTACTTTCTGTCAATTTGTGTGTCATGTTACATTTGTAACTTCCTTTTTATACATTTGTGGAATTTTGTCGTGTAGGCTACTGCGGAGACCTGTAAACAGAGATCTGTAAATGTGAGAGCAATTTATTAGCTACACCAGCAGGTGGCGGTAGCGACATTGCCTCTCATGAGTTGTAAGAATAGGTGCGTTTGACTTCATGCGGCGCTGCACAGCGCTGACTTAACGTGATGCATGCTGGACTTAAAATAAGGCATGCTGTTTAGAAATTGTGTCCAACTTTTGCCCGCGCTGCAAAACGTCACCATGTCACATGACATTAAAATCAATCATTGATCTCAGCTCAAATTAAGCTCACGCAGGTAGAATGTGTCCGACTTGACAGCACCGTTATTATTCCCCGCCCCTGCAGTCACCTGCAGCTCACGTTAGACTATCAGTAGTCATCTGTAGGAGACAACAACTTCTGCTTCTGCTGGACCACTCAGTCTAACTTTTTCTGTACAAGTGTACATAGTTTACCATTGAATACTTTAACACTGCATTTGTTTTACATTAATATTTAAATAAATATGAGCCTGAAAATTGTTTTTGTAGTAATATGTTACACCTTCCTATCAGAGCTGTGAAAGAAAGCTTTGTAAAAGTATATGAAAAGCAGAGAAGTTCTGTATTCTATAAAGCCCAATCAGGAATACTGCATTTCAATTTATTCAGTTATAACATCTTTTGACATGAAATGATTAAAAAGATTACTTTTTATTTCTATTTCTTCTTCCCCACAAAAAAGTTAAAATGCAATCAGTACAAACAGTGTTAATAAACCAAGTCTATATGGGCAAAAAAGGAGAAAGATGAAACTTTGTGCAAGATATATACTCACTGACAGGACAAAGCATTAGGTACACAGTAGTATATTTATTCTCTTGCCTTGCATTCAGTCTTTTTGTGGTTTACCCAAATCTTGAGTGGTATTCAAATTTTTCACATCAACCTAAATGACACAACTGACACAAATTAGACCACAGATCTCCATTTGATGAGATTTTGTCCCAGACATGCTCATCAGGTAGGATTTTAGCTTTTAGATGTTTCATTACAGAAAGTGAATGAAACCCATGACCCAAATAGTCATACGTTCTGTCATTGTGTTAATTATGGATGGAATTATGGTGAAAACTATTTATTCTTTTAGTAAATTTACCATTTATTACCCTTAAGGACCCCTGGTGGTCCAGCAAATGACTATTCATTTATTAGCTGCAATAGGGCTAGTCTGATAGAGTGAACATTGCCCCTCATGTTGTCTAAAGGGTCCCCCAGTAATGTCAGTCTTGGGTTGGTTGAGAACGGCACCACAAGATAGATCTCCAGTACTGAGGTATCATGTAAACCCTACTCATGAGCCTTACAAGAAACGCTCAATGGAAAATGGACAATGACTGTACTTTTGAGGATCGTAACCATATACATAGGGTTTACAATAGCTCCTACAAACAGTAGGTACAACAGTACTAACACAAATACAGTGATAAAGTATTCAATAGTAAACTATATACACTTGTACAGAAAAATTTAGACTGAGTAGAGTCTAGTGGTCCAGAAGAAGCAGAAGTTGTTGTCTCCTACAGATGACCCTGGGTACTGCAATGGATACTCTTACAACTCATGAGCGGCAATGTCGCACCTGATGGTGTAGCTAATAAACTGCTCTCACATGTACAGATTTCTGTTTACAGATCTCTGTGGTACAGAGTGGACAAAATTCCACAAATGCGCAAAAAGGAAGTCCCAAATGTAACGTGACAAATTAACAGGAAATGATCCACAAATGTGACAAAACAGTTTTGTGTGTAAAAATACATCCACAAATGCGTAAATAACACTTTGTATGTGAAATTACAATATATGTGTACAGAGTACATATTTACAAATTGCTATGTATTTTTGTGGATATGATTTTACACAACACAAATGTAAAAATACATGTTTTGGGTAGTAAGATATTGGTATATATATATATTTTACAGATCTCCGCAGTACACATTGGACAAAATTCCACAAATGTGTAAAAAGAAAGTTACAAATGTAACAGGACCCACCAATTGACATTTTTGTGGATATGATTTTACACATCACAAATGTAAAAATACATACGTATTTGTAGATTGTGAAATATTTGCGCATCATAGTACACATTTGTGGATTGTTTTCTGTGGGTTACAAATATTAAAGTCCAATAAAACCTTCCATAGATGTCATACAGTCCCAAGTCTCACTCTAATTACTGTAAGAGTCTGTTGAGTGACATGAACACTCTACTTGGTTACCTTATCACTTATCACTGAGATTATAGATGCTTTCAAACCATCAGTCACACCCAAAATATTGTGATTTTATTGATACTGGCTAAAGTGAGCAAAAGCTTTAATGATAGTTGGTTTTGTCAAAATTGCTACTCTACAGTAAGTGTGAGACTGCAATCTGTCCAAATGAATAAAGTTAATTTTGCAGAGTCAATGATAATTTCCGTTCAGTCAAATACACTATATTTTCATACTCTCTTCACCACCATTTCAGACCAACCCATTTTTATTTTCACATTTTATGGCTAGCGGAGTGGTATTAGGAGCAACTTGTGTACATTTTGGTGAATGGCGGAGTAGCATCTATATGAAGCAGGAAAAACTACAACGTTCGTAATGTTGGGATCAATTTTGAGGTGAAGTTTAAATGTATTTAAACTTTTTTTAAATATCTGGCCATTCTTTAGTAAAAATCTGTAAAAACTGTAAAATCATTAAGTGTGCAAATGGTGAGACTGACATTATCTAAAATCATTTGTCAATATTGTACAGTAATCTCACCCCCAAAAATCTGTTTAATGTCATTGTTCTTACAGTTTTGCCAAGTTTTATTTCTGGCTCAGCCTTCCAAACTGGTTTTGAAGAACAGCATGAACATCTTGTACTGTGGGCATATGTGCCTTTAATGTGAACAGGATGGAATTGGATAGTTGAAACAGAGGAACCAATTTTTCAGGCAAGTCAAGCAGCAGCAGAGGATCCCAATTTAACCTCTCACATATCCTACAGACAGAATCTGTGGGTGAGGCATCACACAAAGTGTCAGAAACATCTGTTCAATCTGTTTTGTGCTCCAGTGGATAGTATGCCAAGATCTCAGGGCACACAGCTCTAAAAATGAAACACTGACAAGTCTGTCACACTTGATAAAAGAGGGAACAATAATAATCCTGTTGAAACTGCAGAGCTGAAGAAAAATGGAGTGGAAGGGAGCTTTGTACACTGAATACACACACGACACTGAAAAGTTTCAGATTCCACAAAGAAAACCCATTTTGTGTCCTTTTGTGACTCTGATAGAGGAATTCCATGCTCGAGACCAACTGCTGCCACTGTGTCCTTTGAAAGGTGAAACACAGGGGGAATAGACTATCACTGTCTCATGACAAGACTGAGGAGCCCAGTCACCACTGACAGTATAGAGTTCACTGGGATGTGAGAAGAACGGTCTTCAGGCAACAGATGCAACAGTTCAAACACCAACTAGCCTCAGCCAACTGCTCGCTATTTGCCATCGCGCCCTTAAAAGTTATAAATACAACTAATTAGTCTGCTGCCTTCTTCAGGCCAGCAAGAGGTAACAGCCTCCCCTCCACACCCATCACAACATGCCCACACACCCTTCTCATGAGATCGGCAGGAGTGCTTAATAAGTGCTAAAGCAGACAGGAGCACTATATAAAGCGCCTCAGAGATTTCTCCATCTCACTATCCTAGCTTTGGCGAGTCTTTCTTTTCCCTTTCTCATTAACGAGATTTTAATTGCTGAAAATTCAGTCAGTCAACACTGAGAGTCCAGAAGTTACTCGCTGATTGACATCAAAAAAGGGGCTGCCATTTTTAATCTTCTCTCTTTTTTCTTCTGTTTTGTTTCTGTGTAATTTTATTCCTTAAAACATGAGCGAAGAGGCCAAAACAGAGTTGTCATGTGGGGAGTACAGCAGGGGTGTCCCCTGGTACCCCCTGAAAAAATGGTGGCAGTCCAGCCGGCTTTTCAGTCAGGATGTTGGCCTGCCGCCTTTCCTGGAGCCAGGGGACCCTCGGTGGATGGATGTGGAACGGCTCCAGAGTAGTTTGGCAGCCTGCTCCTGGCCAGGGTACATACCCGCTCCGCTGTTTGTGCCCTACATCTCTGGGTCGATGCATCATCCCGGCCAGAAGATTAGTAAGGAGCAGCACAAGTGGAGGGTCAGCCTGGACGTGGCTCACTTCTCCCCTTCAGAGATTTCTCTCAGTGTCAGAGACGGATTCCTGGAGATCCGAGGTACAAAACACTGTGTCATAGTTCTATTAATTAAACAGCTCTGAAAGTTCACTTTATTAACATTGCTAATTACTTTTGCACACTAGATAGTTTTGACTCTTAATGAAGTATTAATAATCTTATCTAATATTATTATTATCTCGAAGAGTAACAGAGTTATCTAAATAGACTTCTCTCACAGTTCACAGAATAAACCCCTTAAAACTAAACAAGGATGGAAAGGAAGCTGAATGTATCAAAATTAGAAAGCTGCTTAAATAATGTGCTTAGGGAAATCACAGCTCTGTGGCAGAAATTAATTTCTGTGTTGAGTGGTTTCTCTGTGTTGCTTGACTCCTCTGTGTGTCCTCACATTCTTCCACATAAACGGTAATCCATCCCCAGGGAAACACGAGGAGAGGCCAGACGAGCATGGATTTATTGCCAGATGTTTTACAAGGAAATACAGGTATGCAAAGTAAACACTGATGACAGTGAAATATCCACAGTTTAAGCCATTCTAAACACCAATTAGCAGCCAAGAGTGCAGCAATGAAGGTCTGTCTTTGACAGTATCCAATCTCTAAAATGTTCGCTGAGCTGAAAAATAAGATGTTATGTACGTCAGTTTCCATATTTGAAAACACTGGAACTTTGTATGTAGAGACATTTTAAACAGGATCCTGTTGTTTTCAGGCTCCCAGCTGAGATTGATGCTACCAAAATCGTATCCACACTTTCTGTGGATGGTATTCTGACTGTGGAAGCTCCAGTTCCCGAAACCTCTGTTCCTGCTGCCTTCATCCTTCCTATAAAGGTGATCACAGCTGGGAAGTATGTTTACATTTAAAGGAATAGTTTGACTGCTTGCTTTTTTGCCGAGACAATCAATACCATATATGTCCGGTAAATGTAAGTCAGCCAGTAGCTGGTTAGCTTAGCTTAGCATTAAGACTGGAAACTGGCTCTATCCGACGCTACAGAAATCGGCCTCTCAAGCCCCTACATCCAAAGCTCAACAGTTTAACAAATACAATGTTTTTACATGTTTTGTATTTGTTTTGATTAAACACATCAGATGTAACTAGTGTAAATAGTAAGCTTTAGAGGTGAATTTTGTTGTCTTCGGACAGAGCCAAACTAGCTTTTTCCCCCTCTTTCCATTCTTTATGCCAAGCTAAGCTAACCAGCTGCTGGCTGAAGCCTTATAGCATGTTTACCACACAGACACGAGAGTGGTATTGATATTTTCATCTAACTCTCAACAAAACCCCCCCCCACATTTCCCAAAATGTCAAACCAGCCCTTTAAGCTGATTTTCAACACACATGCAGGGCAATATCTGCTGATTGATTCCAATTCAAAATCCCTCTTGAGTCTCCACGTAAGAAAAGACTGGCATACACATTCAGTATTGAAGTTGGGCATGGAAGTGGAGCAAGTTAACCTTTAATCATAATCACTCATTTCATTTAACTGCTGACATTTTCTACATATTTATGCACAAATGCAGGTGGAGATGGAGTTGGCTGGAGAAAAACAGGAGAAAGAAGATGCCCCTGATACAGAGCAAGATAGCTGCAGAGCACCAGAGGCCCCAGATTTTCCACCTGCAGAGACTGAGGGGGAAGAGTCTCCACCAGAGGTCCATGGTGATCAGGCGCACTCTGGCAGAGTCATAGCCGGGCTTCAGCAGCATGAAGGGAGGAGGGAACAGGAGGAGGAGACCCATGACAAGGCAGCTGGAGAGTCCCACCCTTCAGTGCCTGCAGATGACAAAGGCACAGAGAGTCTTGAAGATTCTTCTAAACATCACGATCCACTGGAAAGCCAGGAAAGCCCAGACACAGACGTGTCCAAACAGCCAGAACACCAAGAACCAGTCGTGGATGAAGAGATCCAGGTAATGGCAGGCTCAGGGGCGGCTGCTGAGGAGAACACCCAGCCTGAGGAGCCAGAGCTGGGCATGAGTCCACCGAGCGAGGTGCTGAGCCAGGAGATCGAAACTCCCGAGATAAAACAAGAACACACCGAGTAGAAACACAAATATCGCTTAGAAGTTGCACATACCACATATTGACAAACTACTCAAACAGCTTGCATAGCTTACCTCGCACCAGTTCTACAGAAGCATTTTAGTCACTAGATATAATAGCTAACCATGCTGTCTTTGGAGCTCCAATAAAGCAGTAGCATGTAAAAATGTTACATACTGTGTTGGTGTTACATGTGTTTACTACCGCTCACTATTACAATGAATTGTAGGAAATAAGTGGTTGCAAAATTTAAAAAGAGATTAATTATCATACTGTTTTAGCTGAGAGGTTTAAACATTAATCAGATACTATATGTTTGCCCAGCTGTGCATTAGTCACTTCTACATGAGCAACTTGCACAAAGAGAAACTGGCATGATTCCAATTATGCTGTTGCCATGGTAGCACAAGTCCACACATATTATTTAATACCAATAAATACATCAGTGTATGTGAGCTGGCAAATCACAAAAAGCGGCGCCTTTGCATAGCCAAAAACTGTGAGGCTTTTTGTTGTTTCCAAAGTGTGGCTCCAGTTTCGAAACTTTTTAAATTCAAACTGATCATCCCTCTTCATTCCAATACACAGAGAAGATTACATTATTTTGCATCACACAGTGTGCAACAGAACTGCCCCAATTTTTGCACTTGCATACAAAAGCTCTGGCAGTACTGCCTCCGTGCGTTCGGCCCATTCTGCAGCACACAGCAGTGCCAATCTCACCCAGCACTAAGCCCTCTGCTAATCTGCTGCCCAATTCCTTCTGTTATCCAACAATAACACCACAGGCTCCCTGGATCCCTGGAACCAGACCCGTGAGTGGCACGGTTCTCAATAAAAGACACAGATGTTAAAACACATTGGGAGATTGGCTGGACACTTTTATTGCATCAGCCAATACAAAGACATCAACAGAAAAGAAGGCAGGAAACAAACGTCTTTGCCATACAAGTCAGTCTGTCCGCGCCGACAATCATGCAGCCACCTTCCTGAATGCTCAAATAGAAAAGAAAAATGCAAACCATATTGCAAAACCTGGAACACTTCAGATTTATATTTATAATGAATTGGCACATATTAAAGTATATTTACATACACTTTGGTAGAATACAGTATTAATGCACACAATTCACCCTCTAATGAAGCCACAAACGGTACTTACTTTCGTTTCTTGTCAGTTTAAGTGACATTCATTAACTCAAAAGATAAACAACTGTGGAACTGAAGGAAGTCAAGGCACACAAGTAGATAAAGGCACATTTGTCATTTTTAAAAATCCAAATAAATCATACAATAACGTTTGATGGAAATACTGTTCCACTAAATGAATTGCTTGTTAATATAAATACAAATATTAATTTGATTCTTGATCAACGTTCACATACATACTTCTGTCGTATCAGCTAACTGGTTATTGAGAATGCTATGACTTATAATGTATCAGTGGCCCAACAGATCTTGCTTAACCACAGGATGCACCTATATGATATTTAAGCTGAACAAGTCAAGTAAACACACCAAGGGCTCTATAAACTGCAGCTGCGTGAATATTTTTGATCTTCAGTCCCCTAGCATTAAATGGTCCAAAGTGTCTTTGAGGATTCTGTGAATACCTTCCGAACAGCAGTAAGAGTTGTTAAATCACAAGAAATATCGTCTGGTATAAAATCAGTCACTACAATGTAGTGGTAATACATGAGACGCACAAACTGGAACAACCAGGAATTAATAAATGGAACATCAGATTATGTTTATCAAATCAGCTGGTCTGTAATCATTTTGTAATAAAGGACACTGTGGGGACAAAAGTGAAAATAAACAACTTTGGTTTCTGGATTCACATTTAACATGAAAGAGAAGTGATACCAGAATTTCATTTGGGCATTGGGGAAAATCTATAGCATCTCCGTCAGTAGGGAGAGGAGGCTCTTCACTATTCTCCTTGTGTACATAACAGTTTAGCCTTGTGTAGCTTTAATAACGACACACCTATTTCCTTAGACATTTTAATTCCAGGTGTCTAAAAACATGAAGCTGAAGGCCACGCATTTCATATCAAACTTGTAATCAATTGTGTAATATGATCTGTTATGTTAGTTGGGAGGTGGGGGTTTAGACCGTAGGGGCCTCTTGGGGCTTTGGGGCCTCCACTTCCAGTGTGTCGCCAGCATGGGAGCCCTCGTTGCTGAAGAGGTAATATGGAGGCGTCTGCCGAGCTTCTATGATGAGGACACCCTCAGGGGACAAGGAGGCGAAAACGGTCAGAGGGTCCACGTCTGTCGGTATCCTGATGAAACAGAGGCGAAGAGCAAGTGTGAAAGACAACATGGTTTGAGTGTTTTTTTTAAAAATGCAAAGATAGATGTGTAGATGTTAGGAATAGCAGAAGTTTACAGTACTTGGTGGAAAACTGTAAGCTGCTGTGTGCGTTCAGCATGTTTTAAAGCACGAGTGGGAGGAACAAAATAAGGAGAGCCTAGAGAAACAGTTCAGTTCCTGCTTGAAGGTCATGCAAAACTCTGTGACATTTTCCCCCATAAGAGCTGTTGTGCAAACATTGTTAAACGCTCGGATTCTTTATTGACACTTTGTCCATACCCATAAACAGCCTGAAGTCAGATGATTTTAGCGCTGTATGTCTAGTGGAGCAAAAAAAGAGGACTTGGCTCAGTTATTAAACAGTCCTCCCTGGCTAGCACTGATTCTAGACTCACAAAAACTATCTCACACCCAGGAGGTGAGCTGAAAGCCATCAGGGGTTTTCATTAAAAATTCTTCAGCTCTGCGACAAAGAGGAGGGAGAGAAAACACACAGTGGATATAGGTGTGAGGTGTGCAACAACGAAACCTGATTCCAGTTAATGAGAGTTCAACATCTGTACATTTCCATCAGTGTTTGCTTTCCCAATCTGGTGCTCTCATCAGTCCCATTGGCAACAGCTAATTTTGTATCTGGAATTTTTTGCATTGCTGTTTTGACACTTCTCGTGCTAAAAATATTATATTTTCCAGAGTAGAGTAGGGATAACTTGCAGGAAGATACAAAGTGTTGATAAAAATCAGCCCGAGCTGCATTGTGTTTACTTCAATAAAACTGTATATACTTCTGTAACAATTTAATAATCTTAAATAATCCAAATGTTAAAGTAAATTTCAGGTTTAATTTCAAAACAATACAGTTTGGGATGAAAGTACTCCAAAACCCGGCTGTAAAGGCAAACACAAAGAGATCCAAGCAAACTCTGTCTGTGGCCAAATATGGGTATTGTAGGTTTCTGTGTGAGCAGCCAAGTGTCTTTGGGAGTTAATATAAACATCAGGCTTCCCTGTTCAGAGGAGGAGACTGTGGGTTTATCCTCTATTTAATTTGAGAGGACCCTCCACTGGCTTCCCACTCCACTGAGAAATACAATTCAGAAGGGACTGAGAACTTGTCCTCACAGAAGCAGACAGAGTAGACAGGCCTATTTGTGTAGCTGAATATCACATACAGCATCTCAGAGCTTTACAGGTCCAATTTAACAACAAACTCCACACCTAACGTATGTTGACAAAGGCGCAGAGGAAAGGACAGTAGTGCAAGGAACAACTTGGGAGAGAAAAATCATAGAGCCCCCCCACCTCGACCCCCACACCAAATGGCTATGGATGACACAGGAGCCACCGCAGTTGGTGGGGAAAAGGCAATTACAAAAAAAATAAAGAGAAGGTTGTAACAATAATAGAAATACAGAATCCAACAGTAGGAGTCCAAGTCCAATTTAGATAGAACAAGACCAATGCAATACATCCAAAGAGATAAGTGCCAGGAAGTAGGTCCATGAAAATGGGTTCATGTAGTTCCAAGGCCAAGGGCGGTCAGGTTAGTGTGGAGTCGAAACGAGGGTATGGGGTAGCTTTCAGGATGTCATTTAGATCGCAGATACAAAACTGTATGCACTGGACAACAGTATCAACCTCACTCATATTTAAGTGGGTTATGTAAAAAACTGTGGACCACGGCCACCCTAAGAAAAAGTCAAGGAGCATATGCATAAAATGCTATATACTGTTTATATTATGTTACCGTTGGTTTGAGTTAAAAGGTGAATAGCAGCATAAGTGCTCTCATATTAGGCTCTGTCACTTTAAGAGGGTAACCTCTGACCCTGAGGTGTGACAGACTATGATGTTTATTTTAGGAGAGGCCTCCGATTCGTCCATGTAGATGGCAATCACGTTTCTAAAATTGTGACTGGTGTGACTAACAGGCAGAGCAGAGCGGAGTACACCGGTGTGACAGTTAGTAGCCTGGCTAGTTTATAATAAGTTTGTCGCACTGCTACACAGTTTTGTGTATTGTACTGTGTGTGAGAGCGAATAGTCTGCAGATAGCAATAGGTTAGCACCATCGCTAACAGCAAGCTAACGTCGTACGAACACTGGTGCCCTGACAGCGCTGGATGTGACCGGCTGTTAACGTTATGCTTCGAGGGAGACCGTCCTGTGCCTGTTTTCATCTTCATCTTTCTGAGAAGATTGCAAAACAAGAGAACAGCGGGAGTCTTCTGGACGATGCTGTGAAACTGGGCTCAACGTTACTTGTGCCCAACAGGCGCTCCACTGAGCAGCACAACAAACACTGCGGGGTCACGACAAGTCGGTGTACTGTCTGAAAAACTTCAGTCACCCAGAAGTTTGCCCAGAGGAAAAACTGCCACACCGCCTTTCTCCTCACGTGAGGCCTCAGCTCTGGTGAGAGAAAGCATCTTTTATCATCCTGACTCTGCTGCTGGTCCCATGGGCAAATTGTTGTGCTGGATCGGTTAAGGATCTCTGTCGAGAGCGGCTATAGAAAGCCTCTAGATGCCTAAAATGTTGTCTGTGGGCGTCGTTGACTTCACTGGTGTTGAGCTCACTGCTCTTTGCTTATGGCCCTGTAAGCTCATTTATTCTGAGCTTGGTTGTGTCTGCTTAAATATTGCATTCTTAATCTAAGTTTGTGACAGTGGTACTGTAACTTGTGTCAATGCTCTCTCTCTCTCTATATGTATATTTCAATTTGAATTGTTAGAAAAATTAAAAGAAAAATATCAATACTCTCCTACAAATAAAAGCTGTATTCGTCTTTTTAAGGAAAGGTCAACTTGCCTATTTAAAGAACAATTAATTGCCTAACATACAGATTTC